TTGACACATTATTTTAATAAAATTAAAAAATTTAAAGTTAATTAATCTGATTTGAAATAAATATTTATTACTTATAGCATAAAAAAATAATATACAACATATTAACAATTGGTCCAGTTCATCTAATGTTGGATGGACTGCTGATTGATGAAGCGATGACAGCTACTATGGATGACCCAATTGTCGAAATTCTAAGTGAATGCATTTTTTTGGTTTTTAACTACCTAGTAATTTTTACAAATGAACATATTTTCTGCAGTTATTTAATATTTTATTGACTTTTATTTACCTTTTGAAGATGCAAAAATTAAAAAAAATTAAAATACTATAAAATTTTCTTCAGTTTATTTTATAATTTAATAGCAAATGAAATGCTATGATTATTCAATTGAAGTATGACCCACATTAATGTAAATACATAAAATAAAAATATTTAGCGAAATAGTAATTGAAAAAAGTAAAATTTTAAGCTTTAAACTTTTCATGCTGAATGTAAATTTTGAAAACTTGTTGAAACTTAATTGAAGCGACCTAATAAAGGGACAAAACTTTTAGATTATAATAATGGCAATTTCAGTCTACCATACATGAAAATAAGGAACATATCAAGTAAAAAAAAAATACAAAATAAAAAATTATTTTAAAAACGGAATAGCTCAACTAAGTTTAGTAATCTTTTCAATTTTGGATTTGTAAATTTTGTTTCCACTTAATTACTACATCACATCCAGGAAATAACCCAATACAGAATTTTACACGATTTTCAACTATTGTAAATTATTATAATTAAAATTTTTTAAAAATGAAAAAATTCTTGTAAAAATTCATTATTCATCAGAAAAATTTTATTTTTTCAGACAATAATGTCCTTAATATTAGTTACTTACAAAAGCAATTAAAAGCTTTTCTAATTAAATAATGTCATAGTTTTATTGGATTCATCATTTTTCAATTCAGAGCAGATTTTCAGTTAGAAATGCTCAAATTTAAAAAAAAAAAAAAAAAATTTTTTTTACCAAAATTTTCTTAAAAAAATTTCAAAAATAATTTCATTCATTTGTGAATAAGTCCTGAAAATTTCATTAAAATCAGACAGTTATTTGATTTTTACAAGAATTTCCAAATCGACGTGTTTTCTACGGAAAAAAGTGCAAAAATGTCAATGTTATAAGTTAGCCACTACAATGACGTAAACAAAAGATTTTAACCAAAATTTCGAACGTGTCAGAAAGGATTAAAAAGTTTCAAAAAATAATTAAAAAATTTCTTTGGTCTTTCATCTTAATAATAACAAACATTTTGATGATAAAACTTTATTTTTATTAAGTTTGTAGCCTTTTTCATTAAGCTATGCTGTTTCCCATGAAAAAGCGGGGATACGTAAAATAAAGTTAGATATCCTTTTTATTTAAAAAATTGGGGATGAGTTTAAACAATAAAGAGAACAATTTCTTTACATAAATCATTTAAAGTACCTAGCAGTACAATGTGAATTAATTTTGTGTTTATATTACATAATTTTGATTATAATTATTAAATTAATAATTTATATTATTAAATGGGAGAGTTGCCAATATTTAAAAAGAAATTAAAAGTAAAAATTATATTTTGTACTGAAACAGACTTTAAACTTGCGAACTTTATGAAAAGTTCAAAAACTGAGTAGAAACTTGCACATTCATTTTTTTTTTTTTTTTTTTTTTTTTTACACTAGTAAAATAAATTTACATCATACTTAGGTGTTATTATGATCTATAGATTTTAGTTTTACTGATAGTTTAAAATCAATAAATGTTTGACTTTTTATCATTAGTACCAGGAATAGAAAATTAAGCTTTAAACAAAAAAAAACACAATTGTTTTTTGGGAATCAAAAGTTAGGTTAAAAATTCTCCAATTGTGATTCAATTAATGATCCCACTCGGTTATATATATATATATATATATAAAAATATTATATATATATATATATATATATATATATATATATATATATATATATATATATATATATATATATATAAAAAAATAAAATTAAGGAGATCTGAAGAATCATAATTAAGTAATTGATCAAGTCTAGAAGAATCCTCAACAGAATACAGAAACCACTGGGCAAACATTTCATGCTATTTTGGTACTCATCAGCAGTGCGCATCCACTACCATGAATCGAACCTGGATGTGACTTTGGGGGCACAGTCTGTTGGTAGGCTTGGATGAGTCGTATGATGGAATTTGTGAAGAGCAGGTGCTATATCAAGTCTAGTTTTTTACCTCTTCATCACTGACACCTGTTGGTCTAGTGGGTATGACACTTGCGTCATATCATAACAGTCTGAGTTTGATTCTCGGTAGTGGATGCGCACTGCTGATGGGTCCTAAAATAGAACAAAATGGTGGTCCAGTGCTTTTTGCATTCTGTTGAGGATTCTTCTAGACTCAATCAATTACTTAATTATGAGATATATTATAAGTAAAAGGTTTAACACTTAGCTGATTGATGTTACCTTCAGCATCTTGACTCCAGTGTTTCATAGATGGACCACAGGGGAATAACTCTGTCCACACATCAGTGGGTATCGGCAATTGATTGAGATATATATGGTGCAATGAGTAAATTTTTGCCATTTTATATTTTTAATTTCAAACATGCACATTGCTTGTTTTTTATTTTATCCACTGCACAGTATAGTAGGGTTAGTTGAGCACCATCTGTGAAAAAAAGTACCATGATGCAATTCACATTGCCAGAAATTTGGGAACGGCATGCTGTACACCTTGGCATTTTAGAGTGTTTGGGTGTCAATCTAAGGACAGAGTATTCAGAAAGAGTTGGATGAGTCTAATGGTGATTATGAAGGTATGGCAGCTCAGAAAACTCACTCTGATCGTTCTGATAAGAAAAGAACTCTCGAAATTGTTAGTGAGGGCCTCAGCCTCAACATCAAGACTTACATCAAGTGCCTTGAGGAGGTAGGGCTGCCCTGGTTCAAGAGGGTGGCTGCTGGAAGTGTCTATGTCTGGCAACAGGACTCTGTACTATTCCACACAAGTAGGAGAATCCAGTCATAGCTGTCAGACAATTTCTGCAACCACATCACCCCTTACATGTGGGCATTATGTTCTTTTCTGTCACTATTGTTTTTAATTATCCTCCATTTTAATAGCAGTCGCTTTGTGAGTAAAGAAGATATGTTACAGATATATCCTAGGCATAGTCCACTTTCAATACATTTTCACATTAATTACTGGAAATTAAATTTGTTACTGAGGTGTTTTTCTATATTATATACAGCTATACCTCACCCTATGTTGTTGATTGGTTCCAGAGGTCACAACTTAAATCAAAATAACCAAACTTTAAACTGCAAATAAACACTCTCCCTTGCCTATTACAGTATTTATAAGTACAGTATTCTGAATAAAATAATTAAAAATAAGTAAAAACCAATTTTAAATTTATGTAAACTCAACTAAAATGACCTAAGTTGTTTTATTTTTTTTTTATATAATATTTAAAAAAAAAAACAATGGATCTTCGAAAATGACAACTTGAAACACCTTAAGCCAAGGTATCACTGTATATATTATTTTAGTGGATACAGGAGTTTGATTAACCATCTGGGTTTATACAGATTTTCTTTATTAGATCTGTCAAATGTACATGTCAGCAGATGTAATACATAATTTAAAAAAACAAAACATCTAATGAAACACTTGTATCCACTAAAAAATAATACTTAGGATAAGAAATAATGTTGAATTAAAAATAAAATCAATTATACTTGTCTAGGCTTTATATGTAGACAACTTCATGTTATGACCTATATTAAAAAATTATTTCCCAGTGAATTTGAATTTAGCATAAGTCACATTTGATTTGTTATCATGGAAAAGCTCACAAGTCTATTTTCTTTTTTAAAGTATTCTGCTTTTTGAAATTCAATTAATCTTTAACTCACCAGTAGTTTAACATCGTCTGAAGAGACACAGTTATGATGTTGAAACATAACTGTGTAGCAATTTTTAACGTTTTATATATATATATATATACACACACACACACACACACAAACACATATACTGACACAGACAGTGTAATGGATAAATTGTCTAAATTACACAAAAATGAAAATAATACTAACATCTCATTTTAACAGATATATTTAGCAAAATTACACAAAAATATCTTAAAATACTAAAGAGTAAATTTATTCAATAAAATTACTTTTACAAATTTAATTTCCAGTAATTAATGTGAAAATGTATTGATAGTGGACTATGCCTAGGATATATCTGTAACATATTTTGTTTCCTCACAAAACGACTACTATTAAAATGCAGGATAATTAAAAACAATAGTGACAGAAAAGTGAAATTGGTAATGTTAAATATGTCATTTTAAATCTAAAGTTAACCAACACTATATATTTAACATTTTTAGTGTGAAAATATTACCAGTGTTTGTTGTATTCTCCTACCCCCCCCTCTCTCCCTCTCTCTCTCTCTATATATATATATATATATATATATATATATATATATATATATCATGTGGTGCAGTTCAATTTACATTACATGAATCATTCATACAAAAAACAGATATTGAAGTTAATGATATAAATGGTGAGAATCCATCTTCGCAAACAGGGATCATAACATTCATCTACAGGTTTGGTGTTAATGTAATTAAATTTGTTTGTGAAGATGGATTCTCGCCATTTATATCATTAACTTCAATATCTGTTTTTTGTATGAATGATTAATGTTATATATATATATATATATATATATATATATAATCATGTTGAGCTTAGATTCTTTCCAATTGTAGATGTGATAGTTGGTATATATTGATCTATCAACTAACTCTATCTATACACTCACACACACACGTGTGTGTGTTAAAAAAAAAAAAAGTTATTAGTCTGAAGTACCTTCTGAGGTTGGAATATGTTACTTAAATGTCTTTTTCTATTTTGTCATTCGATTACCAACTGTATGAATTATTGCAGCGTAGCTGTCTCAGTTGAAAGAGATCCGTTTCAAAGTTGCCATTTTTTCCCCCCTTCTCTTTTTTTCTTTTTAGTCTTTATCCAGCTTCTTTCCATGTCTCTCTATACCTGCATCTCCTGCCGTGTGGCTTTTGCCACCCCAGAGCTGCAAAAAGCCCACCACAAGACCGACTGGCATCGGTACAACCTGAAACGTAAGGTAGCAGAGCTTCCACCAGTAACAGCTGCCGACTTTCAGCAACGTGTCTTGGAGAGAAAAGCACAGGTAAAGGACTTTACTTTTCTGGTTTTGATATGAGCTTAATTTGCATTTCAAGTAAGTAGAATCTTCCATCTCCTTAGAATTTGTAATGGAACACTGTCACAAGGAAAGACCATAATTTTTTTTTTATTTTGATTGTTAGTTGGTCCTCTTTATATTAGTATGAATGTTAAATCTATACTGTATTTTGAGGCTTAGAAGACATTTCAATGCATGAGGCATCCCACCCAGGATTTTGAAGCAAGAAAATGGAAAAAATAAGTTTTTTTTTTTTTTTTTTTTTTTTTTTTTCCTTGCACTTCATAGCCCTCCCCACTTTGCCCAATTTTATTCACTGAATAGAATATTTTGGCATGAAAAACTAATTGTGACAAATTAATCACAATCTGAGCAGTAAGAAATTTCTGATAACTATTTTGAATGTAATAATTAGAAAAGCAGTTAAAACCTGTCACTGTGGTTTTTGGAGATATTTTATAGGAAACGTAAGTGGTAAAATTTTTATTTTTACATGTTTCATCAGCATCATCAGAAAAATTTTATAAGAAATTTCATAAGAACAAAATCTACATTAGTAAGAGAACATGATTAATGTTAAAATCCTTTTTTTTCACATCATATTATAAATTAAACACTCTAGACCATGCATATAAACAAAATTTTTCTATGAAATTTTATAAAAAATTAATGGGTAGTAAAGGTCATTTTTCTATGTAAATTCATTGTAAACTTATCCCCCTGACAAAGACTGAAAAAAAAAAAAAATGCTTATACAGTGTTTCCAAGTATTTGTAGCAAGAATATATTAGCATTGTCAAAAGTTTGCTGCCAGCACCTAGTTATAGCCTGATATCAATAAAGCTTTCTTTCTTATTTCATAAAAAATATCATTAATGGATCTGTGAGTAGTAACTAATGACACACTTATTTTTTTTAAATATGCAAGAAGTGTTAGACACCTAGTGGCAAAATGCATTTCTGTTTGAAGATTTTTTTCTTTTCAACCTTTTTCTAAAGTAAACAAACTTAGAAATATTTTAAATTTTTCAACTGATTTAGTTGAATGCCTCTCTCATTTTTGTTGGTCTCGTGATAACTTTTTTTTTTTTTTTTTTTTTTTTCACCCCAAGCAAAGCAATAAAGCCACTAAGATGCAAGGGGTTACTGAGTATTAGAGAATATCAGAAAAAGAAACACTATTAAGAGAGAACAATAAAAGAACAAGAAATAAGAAGACAGAAGATAACGATCGACATTGCATTTAAATTTTTCAAGATCAAAGTTGGCTGGAAAGTATGAGTCTGAAAAAGAGTTTTACAAATGAGAAGTGCAAAGGAAGAAACTGTTAGCATAGAATATATGGTTACATCAAGCCATTTTAACTGTAAAATGATGAGACTTTGCTGCCAATCTAGTACTGCACTTAAATTCATAAACTCTAGATACCAAATTGGAAAGTTCAGTAGAACATTTACCATGAAAGTATTTATAGAAAAGGCACAGGGAAGCTATGTTATGGCAGTGGGAAAGTGACTGAAGCCGAGATGCCAGGTCAGGATCAATAACAGTGCGTATTCTTTGTATTTTATCAAGAATCTCTAAATATATACAGGAGTACCAGACCAAATGTGGCAGTAATATTCAAAGTAAGGACAAATAGACTTATAAATATGTAAGATAGATTTTGAAAAGAAAAATTGTCTAGCATGACACAGTGAAGCAACTTTCTTAGCAGCAGACTTAGCAATTGATTTAATATAATCTTTCCACTTCATCTCAGCAAAAAAATGTCAGACTTCGAAGTCATAATGAGTCGCTTTCCTGGAGGTTAGCATCAGCCATCAGATGATTAAAAGAAAGAAATTTTATTTTGGAGGCATTAAAATTAACAAGCCATTCCTTGCACCAGTTAACAGATTTTTGAGATCAGCTGCTAATTTTATCTTATCAAACTGATCAAATATACTATTAAGATTATAATATAAATTATTAAAATTTGCTAAAAACTTGTCCCTAGGGTCAAGATTTTAAGATTGTTTCTGTGGAAAGCCTAAATGGGAAATTAGGGCCCAAATCAGTGATCATGTGTTTGAACTGTTGAATTGTCTTATTTAAGAATCATTACCATCATAAATTTTTGAGCCACATCACTACCCCGTTTTTGGAATGATAGATTAAGCAAAAAGCAAAAGATTTATGGACATAAAGTAAGACTCCAGTTTATGCTGATACTTATGTTGTAAATCAAAAAAAGGTTTAAAAGGTTTGGAATTTGTATATTAGAGATGCTCCAGGGTCCTATTAGTAACTATGGAAAATTTGGTGGCCATGGTTGATGTATAAATATACCTTTTTAGAGAATTCTAGTAAGATAGATCTATTCAGACTTGTATTCTCATCTTGGTTTGTATAGTCACAATGTTTCAGCCTTCATGGCTGTGGCTTTCTTCAGATACCTATTCTGTTTGGGTAAAATTTTCAATCATTATTAAGACAGATTGAACTATTTAAAACTGAACTCCTCACTTTTGTTGGTAGTTGTATTCTCCCTCAGTTGCCTGTCAAATTTGATAACCATCAGGAAATTTTGATCCGAGTTCTGATGTGAATAGATTTTTATTAATCTGCTGTTCATGTTAGAATCTGTCTTATAGCTATTCTTCTTAATCTTAAGTCTTTCCCTATGACTGGGCTTACAGCCATATCACATTGAAATTGGGCACCTCAATGTGGTGCAATGGTTAGCAAGCTTGTCTTGCTAGATCAATTACAACTGAATAGTGAGTTCAGTCCTCACTGAGTGCCCCCATACTTTCGGTTTTGTACTACACCTAAGCTAAGCTCAGAAAATCACCATATCAGAGAGTTAAAAACTCTCCTGTGGTCCAAAATAGCTTTCTTTTATTGGAGTTAAGAAAGTTTCTGATTGGTCAAGACTGGTAAGGAAGCACAAACAATTAGTATATTTCAAGGCCTACTGAAGTCTATCCATGTTTAGGGTTTCAATATGATGTTGAAACATCGGCTTCCATATGATCACTGAAGTTAAGCGATCTGGTCAGTATCTAGATTGGTGATCACTTGGGAATACCAGGTGCTGTAGGCTTGGATGTGCATGTGGTGTAATGGATAACAATTTAGAATTATTAATTGAAGAGCCGAGTTCAAATCCTATCCAGGTTCATTATATTCACTTCTGTGCATCCTTTTCTACTCTCAGCTACAGATTAATTAGTAAGATTTGTATTACTAAATTGTTTTCTCGAAAACCATTTTTTACAATTTAAAAATATTTCCTGACTTTGAATGACCTGTAAAGGATTGGTAAGCTATAGAAAACAGATTAATCGAATCCTTGTCACTAAATAAATGTTTTTTTTCTTGTTGTTTGTAAAGCTGGCAGAAGATGAGAAAAAACAAGATGCCTACTGTCAATTGTGTAAAAAACAATTTAGTACCCAAAAGGCATTTGAAAATCATGAACAGTCTAAAAAACACCGTGAAGCTGCGTCAAAAGTAACAGAGGACATGGTGGAGAAGAACAACCGCAAGAATTTGGCCATGAATGACGCTGCGGTCAAGGATGACCAATTTGAAGCAGACCAAAAAGAGGTGAAGAAAAATTTGGCCAATTTGAAAATTATGAACAAGGAGAGACTGGGAGCAGAAAAAGAGCAGAAAGCTACAGGGAAAAAATCTTCTCAACCAAAGCCATCAACATCTTCCAAACAAACTGGTAATGGATCTTCTTTTTTTTTTTTTTTTTTTTTTTTTTTTCTCTCCCCATTGTCTCTTTTTCATGGTGCAGTTATTTATTGTTGATAAACAAATATATGTTAAAAAAACAAAAGTATGAAATCTCTCTTTCTATTTCTATCACTCAATCTGTCTCTCTCTTCCCCTCCTCTCTCTTCCCCTCCTCTCTCTTCCCCTCCTCTCTCTTCCCCTCCTCTCTCTTCCCCCTCCTCTCTCTTCCCCCTCCTCTCTCTTCCCCCTCCTCTCTCTTCCCCCTCCTCTCTCTTCCCCCTCCTCTCTCTTCCCCTCCTCTCTCTTCCCCTCCTCTCTCTCCCCCTCCTCTCTCTCCCCCCCTCTCTCTTCCCCTCCTCTCTCTTCCCCTCCTCCCCCCCTCCTCTCTTTCCCCCTCCTCTCTCTTCCCCTCCCTCTCTTCCCCCCCTCTCTCTTCCCCCCTCTCTCTCCCCCCCCTCCTCTCTTTCTGTTTGTCAGTGGCTTTTTTTTTTTTAAATAAACCAAAATATTCTCTTAAAGTATTGAAGGACATCTTTGTAATGTAAGTTGTTGCTTACTTCAATATCATTAGAACTCTTTGTTTTTCTTATTTCAGAGGATGACTCTGACAGTGATTCCTGGGAAAGTGTTGAAGGTGAAGCTTTGGCCATTGAGGAATGTTTGTTCTGTTCATACCAGAGTAAATCTCTGGAGAAAAACATGAAACACATGACTGTTGAACACAGCTTCTTTGTTCCTGATGCTGAATATCTGGTTGATTTGGAGGGACTCATCTCATACCTTGGTAAGTTAAGTAAAAGAAAATTAAAAAAAAAGCAGCCATAAATTAATTTTTAATGTAGGAATAGATGAATAAACATTAATTTTTACTGAGGGGATCAGGTAAAGGAATTCTATTTTTTTGAGGAGAGTCTAGCAAAGGAGTTTATGATGAAGGGCAAGTGATAACACAACATAGGGATCTCACTCTGTTAATCAATTTTCCTCATCCAAATGATGTGTGGCTGTTTGAGATCAGTGGTCTGAAACATGTGGCTCAGAGGGAACCATTTTCTTGATCAATATTTTTCTCAAATGTTAAGAAGTATAATAAATTAATAAAGGATGTGTGGGTGGTGTAATGGATAATGGCTCAGGATGAAAAATCTGAGAACCAAGTTCAAATTTCAGTAAAGTTTGTTACATTCACTTAGACAAAAATAGCCTTGGACAAGGTATGAGTCAATCTATTCTGCATCCCTCAAGCTATGGGTTAAATAGCATAATAGACTGGATCCTGTAACTTTGGTTGGTAACCAGTCTACTGCAGAAAGGAATGGCAACCCACTGTGGGAAAAATCTGCCCAGTCATGAATTGAAATGATTTTTCCAAGCGTGTATCGTGTATGGCACTTAACTGACAATAAATTTGTCCATGATTCTTCCATACTTTTCTAGTAGCAGTATTGAGCTTCACCTACTCACCAATCAACTTTAAGGTCAGCATGACCTGCTCTGGTTCCTCTGTAGGGAAGAGAAGAAAACCTATTCTTCATAAATAGGAGTTGACATGCCGTTAAATCCAACATATATCCATCCTATTCTTCATCAGCTACCTGATGAGAGAGTATAAATGTACTTTGCAACAATATCTTGGTCTTTTTTATAAGAAAAAATGAATTTGACAATTCAGAGAAAACAGATACCCCCCCCCTCCACCCGAAATTTTTGCTGCTTCTGCCATCAGTGCATGTGGTGTAAACTAATTATAATGCAAGAAAATGCACTTCTACCAGCATGCTCTCTCCCTTGATATGAGGCCCAACGCACTAGACAAGCCCACTTCTGACCCACTGCAATTTTTGATCAGCACAAAATGGTTCTTTAGCTTAAGACACCTGCCTTAGAGAAATCTGGTTGAAATGTCCCCAGAAATTGGTTCTTCTTTGTGCAGTGTCTCTTCAGAACATAAGCGATCATGGCTCTCTACAAAATCCTCTCCTTTGTAAATCTCAGTAAGGTTTTCGTTTTTGCTATCTCACCTAATCCTTGTTCTGCTAACCAATTATGCAAACTTGTTAGATAGGTTATTTGTTCCTCTTGTATTAAATGTCCTGTGAGTGTCAAATTCTCCTAGCCCTCTTTCCTTATGTGCCCTAAAACTTAAATTTTCTCTTTCTGAATTTAAGTATTAGTATCCTTTTTGTTTCCATTGTCCTTAAAGCTTATTTGTTGCTCACATGTTCTCACCTCTGCATCTATGCTGATGATGACACAATTGTTTACTCCTATCTTAATGGTAAATCTAATAAGTCAAATTGGCAGCTGAAAAATGTCCTTCAATCTGTTGTTAACTGGGGTAAGAAATGGCTTGTTAATTTTAACTTCTCCAAGACAAAACTGCTTTCTTTTAATCATCTTAGAGAAACTTTTGTCTTCTATTAGCACGGCTGATGCTAAACTCCTGGAGAGTGACCTATTGCAGCTTCTTGGGCTAACTTTTTTTGCTGACATGAAGTGGAAATATTATACTGAATCAATTGCTAGGTCTGCTGTTAGAAAAGTTGATTCACTGTGTCACACTAGACAATTTTTTTTTCCCTGAACCTATGTGGCATATTTATAAGTTTATCCTTCCTCTTGGATTTGAATATTGCTGCCACATCTGGTCTGGTGCTCCTGCTATATATTTAGAGATTCTTGATAAAATAGTAAGAAATTTGTTCTCTGGTTCAGTCACTTTCCCACTATAAAAGTATTAAGACAAAGTTTTCCTGTGCCGTTTCTATAAATATTTTCAGTGTAATTGCTCTGATGAGCTTTCCTCTTTGGTACCACAACTTTATTGAAATTTCAGTTGAAATTGCTAGCTGTAACTGCAAAATTTATGCTAAGTTTTTTTGGTCGCACTTCTTGTGGAATTCTCTTTTGGCCACTTGATTTCCACTCAACTTAAATCTGTAAAAATTGAAACACAATGAATGTTAATTATCTTCTGTCTCCTTTGGTTTTTTTTTTTTGTTTGAATTCTTTCACATTTTGTAAAATTCAGTTGAATTGTAAAAGAAAAGAATATGCTTTATATTTATATTTCATAGCTGTTTTAAAATTATTCGAAATCATGTATGTAAGCATTATTCTAACACAACACAGAAAAAATATGCCTTAAATAATGTAATAAACTTTAAGAAAAAATTTTGAAAGTATGAATGTTTTATCATGTGATTTTGGCTTTTTAAGTGTTCAATTTACATTGCTCCCTCTTAAATTTTAGACAATTCAAAAAAAATTATGCTTGTTTGATATTTACAAAGAAATTATTTCTTGGATTGATTTATTATAAATAATTATCCAAGCTTCTTGACATTTGACCTGATGAAAAAAATTTTTTTTTTTTTTTTTTTTTTTTTTATATTTGTTTTTGAATTTGAATGGTTCTAGAGTTTCTCTTTATGCTGCAGGTGAGAAAGTTGGTGAAGGTAACATGTGTTTGTGGTGTGGAGAAAAGGGCAAGGCTTTCTATTCCCCCCGAGCAGCCCAACAACATATGATGGACAAAGGTCACTGCAAAATGCTACATGAAGGTGAGGCTTTGCTGGAGTATGAAGACTTTTATGATTACAGGTAAGTCATTCTCTACTAAATTATTTAAAAAATAAAAAATGTTTGAATGGAATTTGTAAAATGTCACATAGCCAGTAATACTTTGACATTAGCAGAAGTTACAACCGCTGTCCTATAACAGTTGTCAACTTTGTATACACATTTCATACACCAAATATTACAAATCTTATGGGACATGTAGTAAAATGTCTGTATTTTTACAGACCTACCTTCCATATTTCAAATAGGATATAACAAATTTACTTGTGATGAATTCATATATTTCCAAAGATATTTGTGCAAATGCAACAGGCTTGGCTGGAATGAGAGCTTGGTTTGTGTTGTAGAGTAGTTTTCACAGTGGAGGCTTGTATTTCAATAAGTCATCCTAAATTAGGTTCGATGTACAAAACGTTAGGAACTTGGAAATAAGAGTTAATGACGCAGCAAATCTAGTTGTGATGGTTGGTACTTCAATATCGTCTGACTCGCTCAACACCACTGAGCTGAACTGGCACCTGCTGCTACTACTACTTATTATCTGTGGGAGAGTCTATTAATAATAGAATAGCTATGTCAGGTATAACAGTTTGTCAATTCTATTTTCTATTTTCTGTGCTGACAATGGCTACAATACTTACATCAACTGAGTTTTTGCAGATATAGTATCCATTTGTTAGGGTTTTGGTAGAAATGAATTCAATTTTATTATCAAAGCCCCTGATGAAAATTTTAATCAGAAAACTGAAATTTACAGATACTGCTATATACCTTTTTTTTTTTTTTTCCACATTTGGCCAATTTATGCTTTGATTTTATGAAAAGATATAAACACTTCTCGCATAGCAAGAAATGCAGGTTCAAACCTTGACTGCAACATTAGCTTGAAGATGTCAGCATGATATTAAAAAAAAAAGGTATAAAATTGGACCCTGAGGTCAACACAGAGCAGTGACAGTCTGTCAGGCTTGAACTCAATCTTCAGGCCTGGAGATGACATCCAAGCATGGAACAGACCGTCTCCATTCGTTGTTGGCCTCAGGGTCCACTTTTACATTTATATTTACATACGTTCTATCATTGATATTGAGCACTTTTATTCATAAATATAGCATACCTTCAAACCATATTTCTATCTTATGTGTCTCTGTGGTAGAGTTCTTTCATTGTTTGTTTCAAGAGTGGCAATAATTATTTGAATGAAGCCTTTAGTAAAATGTATGTGTACTAAAAACATGTGTAAAAAAAAAAAAATCAGATGTAATTAAAAATATATCTGTAAAAAGATTGGATAAAGATAAAAAAAAAAGAGCACAAAATGCATTGGCTAAGAAGTTTTCTTTTGTATTGAGAGATATATATATATATATATATATATATATATATATATAATACAATGTAGAATAATGAAAATAATTTCTCAGAACCTCAAAATAAATGCTGTTATTTATTAAGTATGGCACAAGGTCACAAATAATGAGTATTTGCTGTTGTAATAATGATCCATAAAGTAGCTTGCTCACCACTTGTCTACATGCAAGCATTTCTATTAAATTAGTTTAACACAAGGCTGTAGAATTGGTGCACCCAAGGCGGATTAATGTAGTAAGGGTTGGGAAGATTGTCTTGCCAACTACTGCTCTATGTTAAGACAAACATAGTAATGCTTTGACAAAATGATGAGAAAGCTTGTTCAGTAAAGTGAGGTACAAATTTCTATTCTGGTCGAATGTTTCATTAAATATTATAAAATTTCATTTGTCAAATATTGAAACTTATTTTATTTTAATTTGGATTAATGTCCTTATCTTTAATATCTCTTAGATGAGGTATTATGATTATTTACATTATTCAAACTGTTATCCTCATCTTCATTGCCATATTTACGACATTTTAGCCATTGCACGCTCCGGCCTTCTTCAGGTGATTGGAATTTCAAACCGATCCCTTTATTTCTTCCACTGGGGTAGTTCTAGTTCCATGTGCTGTACCTCTTCTGGATGTCTCGGTTATTTCCCTTTAACTCAACTCTCGAAGATTTTGATTCACCACTGTTGTGGCTCTTTTGGTCTAGTCACTGGATCTAACCAACATCTTTGTCCACTGGGCCATGTGTCTTGGAGGACATCTGTGTATGAATTTCTGGGACTTGTAAGCCTAATGTCTCAGCAATAATTTTTTTTTTACCAGTGCTCATATTGCAATTTTTTATTTAATTTTTTTTTTTTTTTTTTTTTACCAGGGCTTATATTGCAATTTTTGTTGTTCATTGATTTTCTCTGGTCCTCCTTATTACTAGCTCCCATATTGTATTCATTTCTATGCTTGGTTGGCTCAGGTTTTCATAGCCAAGCATATGTGCAGATTGGTTAAGTCTCTGTCTCTTATTTAAACCTCATCCCACAGGTGATGGTAATCACACTTTTCCCTCCATATGTGGTAAGCTACACCTGATTTTTCTATTTACTCTTGTGTTACCGCTTTATGATGTTTTTTGCAGTTTTACCTTAAGGGGGCAACCTGTTTCTTCTTTGTGTTTTTTACCATAGCTGCATGGGGATTTCGTACATACAGTTCTTAGTCATGTTCTCGTCTACAGAGGGTCTTACTGCAAAGTGTTAAACCACTTTTGAAGATCGTCTTGATGTTATATGGGTACAGAGCCATTGTATTTTCTCCAATAATCCCTTCAAAAAGGGTAGGCAGATTGAAGCTGCTTTCTGAGTGCTGTTATCCTCTTGCACTCTCCTAGCCCAATTAGTTGGAGCTGCTGCCATGTATCCAGGGTAGTTATAATGTAGGGTACTGCTTATACTGACCATTTCTTGTTTGTTTCTGGGTTGCCATTTATGACTTTTGCTTGATGTTGTAAGCAGTGAATGATCCCTTTCTTTACACTATATGAATGGTGGGAGTTGAAGTTGAGGTATTGTATAGTGAAAGTTGGATTTCAGTGTATGGATGTCTTGAAGACCTGCTCTGTTTGAGATATTAGTACATCTAGGAAGGTAAGTGGATCAAGATGTTGGTTAGATCCAGTGACTAGACCCAAAGAGCTGCGAGTTCAGTACTGGGCCACAGCAGTGGTGAACCAAAAACTTGGACAGTTGAATCAAAGGTAAATGACTGAGACACCTGGAAGAGGCATGGCATGTGGAACTAGAACTATATACCCAGGTGGATGAAATAAAAGATTCAGTTTGACATTCCAATCACCTGAAGAAGGCTGGAGCATACAATGGCTGAAACATTATGAATATATATGGCAATGAAGATGAGGATAACAGTCCAAATATTGTAAATAGTACTTATCTTTGTCATTTTGATAAGGTTTTGGCTGTTGTGTCCCTTTGGGTGTCAGTCCATATTGGTAAACTTTAAAGAATTATGAACTGTAATTTATTTATGAAAGTAGTATAGAAAGACACCTGAAGAAGTCTGGAAGGCATAATGGCTGAAACATTGCAATAATAACAAAGATAAGGACTTGACTCTGAATGCAAATAGGTCCATATCCTAGAAATTCAGACAAATATTTTAATTTATAAAAGATAGGACATTATCTTGTGTTCATTTTAGAAAGTTTTTATTAACATTAACTTTGTGAATCTTAGCAGGGAGAAAATCTAGGACCAAATTGTTCACTCACTTAATTTTATTGATCAGAAAGGCTACGTCTGTGACTATTAAGTAAACATTTTTAGGTGGCGATTAATGTAAATATTTCCCTAAATTTTTTCTATAAATATTTTCATGGTAATTGTTTGGATGAACTCTCCACTATGGTATGTAGACTTTTTGAATTTATGTGCAGTACTAGACTGGTGTCAAGATCTCATCAATTTGCAGTTGAGATGGTTAGATGCAGCCATAATTTCTATGCTAAGTTTTTTTTTTTTTTTTTTTTTTTTTCTTGCTGGTGGAATTCTAAGCTCCATACTTTCCAGCCAACTTTAATCTTGAAAAAATGAAATGCCACGTCAATCGTTATCTACTTTTCTCTTGACGCTCATTATTAATGTTTCTGTTCCTAAATGTTCCACACCCTGTAACCAGTTGGCTTTTACTACCTTGCATAGGGTGATAACGATTTAAAAAAAAAAAAAAAAAAAGTAAATTATGAAATTAAGGGAGTTAATCAATATGCTGGTTGTAATTTACGTAGTTATTTCCCTTGGAAACTTACAATGTCCGAAATATATTTTTTTTAAATGTACATTATTTCTGACTTCTGTTTATATTCCCATTTTTTTGTTTTACTTCATCCTCCTTTTTAAGACTACCCCTTTAATATCGAAAGAATTTTCCACCTGACATTTTTATGAAACTTCTATTCTGAATGATGTTGAGGTTTGAAAAAAGAAAAATAATGCAGATATGTAATACAGAAAAATAATTGGTAGAGAACAGTCATTTCTCAGTGTTTTTATTCTCTGAGCAGTTGAGGAACTGTAAGTAGATTTGTAATTTGTTCTCTTGTTGGGAGTTTTATTTGTTGCGGATACTTAAAAAACAAAAATATTGTCTGGTTTAAAATCTCCATGGCCCTAGGTTAAGTATAGAAGTATGAAAAAGTTTGGTTTATAAAAAAAAAAAAAAAAATGTTTTTTTCAATGTTTCCACAGATCCAGCTATCCTGATTATGAAGAGAAACCAACTGGTAAAGATGAAGATGATGAGGAAGAAGAGGTTAACATTGAGCAGTTGGTTGTTGATGGTTATGAACTTGTGTTGCCTTCAGGTGAGTTTCCATTTGCCTATAAGTTGTTGTTGTTCCTTTCTTGAATCAGTTCAAGTACCCTTAGGAGTTCCACAGGTGGGTTTCAGGGGGTCATTGAGGATCAGATAAAATGTAACATATCAGTTATATAGCATATATCCTAATCAATGGTTTCTCATTGAAAGAAAGAAAACAAAATGCAACCAACCAGTACTTTGTGGTGACTGCTAGGCAACTCTTAAGTTGTTGTTTACTATTTAAATGTGTCATCATTCTCTCTGCATGACAGCCATCTCTTGCCACTTCATAAGAGCAAATGATAATCAAGCCATGATAAACTGAAAAATGAGAATTATCTTCTCATATATTGGTGAGCATTAATTGACCACAATTTCTTTCAAGTGTGGCTGGCTGAAAAGTGATGTGTGTGCTGTGTTCATGAGGGTGCAGTATAGAGAAATGCACATATAGGTGGTGTTGTGAAAAACCAATTAGATTGTGTCTTACCAAGTTTCTTGACTCCCAAAAAAAAGTTTTGAGCCAGTGGTTCAGAAGCTACTTTTTTGACCAAATTGAATAAACAATCTTGAGCAAATAGAGTAAAATAAGAAGTTGCATCACTTGAATATTGTTTAGAAAGAAAAACTTCACAGTAGAAAATGCAGACAACAGAGAATGACTTCAGTGACTTGAAGAAACAGGTAATACATATTGTGGGTGCTGATGCTTTCAAAGGACTATAGTGAAAGAATGTATTACATTTGGTTTTAGTTCAAAAATAATTGTACAGAAAAAGTAAGAAACTGTAGAAAAATGTGTACTTATAAAAGTGAACAAATTCTTATTAAGCCACAAAAATAACTATGAAAAGTAAATGTTGTAATTTACTTTTTTAACAAATGCAGGTTATCTAGACCTGAAACAATTGAATTGTGTACATCCTTACATATAATAATGCACAAGCCATATATATATATATATATATATATATAAATAAAATGACTGTTCAATATACATAGTCAGGTAAAGGTATAAAGGCAAGATATTGAATGTGATTATTCAGCTTGCCTTAAAGCTGAAAATTTTCTCTGTTGATATTGTTACTGGTTACAAACATGATCTCTTTATAATAGGCTTTTACTTTGTAGCTGAGACAATTATACCTTTTTTTTCATCTGTTCAAAGGAAGATTGATGCAACACAATCTTCCTCCTTGCAATTCGCTATGTGTTAGATTAACATGAAACAAAGTTGTGCCAACAAATTAAGAAACGGGGAAACCATTTTTTTAAGTAATAGAAAATGAAGTTTCAGGTGATACAAAAAATTGATTTGATGCAAGTTGAAAGATAAATGTCTAGAAATTGACTATTTTTGGGATAATCTTCCTTGTATTATTTTAAATATATCTACATGTAACTACTGCAAAGAATTTTGACAAAGCAGTAGAATTTTTATAGTAAGAGTTAAAATCTAATGTATCTTAAGTAAAATGTTCATAGCTTTAATGCCATATGTCTTCTGTTGGACACTAAATTTCAAGAAGTCAAATAACAGCATTTCTGTAATGAAATAAAAATGAATGTAAATTATTTTATATACTTTAATATTTTTCAGGTGTATAATAAATTTGCTATTAACGAACTGATTGCTCATTTGTCCATAACAAGTGAAAATATCTCAAAGCAAAAATAGTTTTCATTTACTCTTCTTGTTTTGTAGGTGCCACAGTTGGTCATCGTTCACTAAAAATTTATTACAAGCAGAACCTTCCCCAACGACGAGTTGGGCGCAGCAACACTGCACTTCCAAGAATTCTTGCTCAATACAAAGCCCTTGGATGGACAGGCACTACCAGTAAGAGAGATGAATTTTTCTTGTTTGTAAAATTGGTTCGATTTTGCAACCATTTATTTTATACTTTTATAACATTTTCTTTCTCATTTTCAGCTGTTGCAGCCAAGCAGAAAGCAAAAGATATTTCATACATGCGCCAACTTCGTTCCAGACGAGATTTACATCTCAGTATGAAAGCCAACAAATTGCAACCCCATTTCAGACCGCAGGTTGTGTTTTAGATAGGACTAAAAAGCTGTATATAATGTGCTGTTGGATTGACTTGTTAAATAAACAATAAAGAACACAAAATGAAATAATTTGTTTATTATGCAAAAAATTGACAATGTTTACTTTTAGGAATGTTGATTACCTGCATAAATCTTGTGAAAACCAATGACAGGTAAGGATTAAGTTAGAGACGAGCTGTTGTAGATTTATGTTCAAGAAGTTCTTTCATCTCATCTAAACAGTCAACCAGACAATTACCAAATGTTTCCAAATTTGTTACACTGCTGTTCTGCCATCTTGAAATGAAAATGCTCATTCTGAAAAATAATCAGATATTAATTGAAAAATGTTAATTTATTATTTTTTTTTATCTATTTCCTTTTTAAAATACTAAAAGATAGAACTAACCTTTTTGGTTCTATATTATAAAAGCAACCATATCCATCTTTGACCATAGCAGCACAACCACCAAGGCAAGTGGTGAAACCCAAGAAGCTGGTTGATAGAACAAAGTTGCCTCCACCACCACTAAAATTGGGAAAGAAAAAAAATTGTATATATTATGTTTTTTGCAAGACCTGGAATATTATAATAATAATATTATAATAATAATAATATTATAATAATAATAATATAATAATAATATTATAATAATAATAATATAATAATAATAATATTATAATAATAATATTATAATAATAATAATATATATAATAATAATATTATAATAATAATAATATTATAATAATAATAATATTATAATAAAAATAATAATAATAATATCATATAATAATAATAATAATAATATTATATAATAATAATAATAATATTATATAATAATGATAATATTATTATATAATAATAATAATATATAATAATAATAATATATAATAATAATAATAATAATATTATAATAATAATATAATAATAATAATATAATAATAATAATATTATAATAATAATATATATAATAATAATAATATTATAATAATAATAATAATATTATAATAATAATAATATTATAATAATAATAACATTATAATAATAATAATATTATAATAATAATATAATAATAATAATAATAATAATAATAATATTATAATAATAATAATAAATATAATAATAATAATAATTATAATAATAATATTTATAATAATAATAATATAATAATAAATAATATAATAATAATAATATTATAAATAATAATAAATTATAATAATAATACAAATAATAATGAATATTATAACAATATTATAATAATAATAATATTATAATAAATTATAAATAATAATTATAATAATAATAAATTATAATAATAATAATAATATTATAATAATATTATACAATATTATAATAATAACATTATAATAATAACATTATAATAATAATGTGTAACAATAATAATGTTTCTTCATGTGTGTGTGTAATATTATATCAATGTGTATTATAACAATAGTATTGTGTTGTATTATGTGTGTAATTAACATTAATATAACAATAATATTATTACAATAATATTACTAATATAATAATATTAATATTATAATAATAGTATAATAATAATATTCCCTTTAATAATATTAAATACACCGCACAAATAATAATACACAGAGAGTATGACTGTTCAAAAGATAAAATATTAAGCTATTATAATTTTAATTTTATTTCCTTTATAATAATAATTATTTTGATTAGAGACCATCCTGGTGACATTCGGCCAATGTTTCACAATCAGCATTTTTTTCTTCTTATAATGATTAATATTATAATAACATTTACCAAACTTGAACACTCTTAGTAACAATGCTGGGTTTGCAAAATAAAACAAAATAAGATTACTTTATAATTATAAGAAATTTTAATTATAATAATTTTAATATAATAACAAAAAACAAACAAAATTATAATATTAATATTCATATTATAAATTTCATTATAATTATAAATTATAATATTATTATTATAATATTATTAATATAATTATAATATTATAATATTATTATAATTATAATTATATATTATAATTATACCATAATATAATTATAATATTATATTATATTATATTATAATAATATTATTATAATATTATTATTATTATAATATTATTATAATATTATTAATATTATTATAATATTATTATTATATTATTATAATATTATTATTATATAATAATATTATTATAATAAATATTTATAATATTATAATAATATTATAATAATAATATTATTATATTATAATAATAATATTATTATAATAATAATAATAATATTATTATATCAAGGAACAGAACTTACCTTTTAACAAATGCAGGTTCCAAAAATAATTGGGGAATGGGCACTCCCTCTTCCATGGCAATAAGGTAAAGTCCTAACAGGTGCCGATCACACCCTGCAACAAATATATATCAGTGGCAGCCTCATTAGAAGTATTTCAGTATTAGTTTGATGTGATTAAGCTTTTGCAAATAAGTAAAAAACAATAATAGTTTCACATGCAGTGAATATTTTCTGACTGACTAACAAACAATGAACTGATTCATACTGCCAATCCTTCAAAAGTATCTTTATTTACCACTTTTTAGTCAGAATTGTCATCCTCCTCCTACACTGGCTGCCCATTAAACCACCCAATTACACTGTCTATAATGTCCTTTTTAATGGATACCCATATTTCAGTAGATGCTCAATTTATTTTAAACAGTATGTTTTTTTATCTAGAAGCCTGTAACATTCAAGAAATCATTTTAAAGAAAAATGCAACATTAAAAATATCATAGGCAAAAAAAAGTAAAGGAAAGGGAATACAGATAGAGCATAAGGAGACAAGAAACTTATGAAAAAAACAAATAACCACAACCTACTATATTTGTACATAAAAAGGAGAAAATTGGCAGGCAGAACAATTTCAAAAACGTTCATCTATGAAATTCTGGAGTCGTGGTGCTGAATATAACATCAATCAACAAATATATTAGTATTCATCCTACATATACAGGAGGTGTGGGGGGGAACAAATATTGGTACACATACAAATATTTAATTTATTGTATTTCCAACTAACAACTGCACAAATGGAACTAAATATGCATAGAAAACAAAAAAAAAAAATTGATACAATACAAATAAATCCCATTTGTACAGTGCAAATTTCAGATTTTAAAAATTTTAAGTTGCATTCATACTTAAGATTATTCAACTAGAATATTCTATAATGTTCCAATTAGGCTATAAGTAGTTATTTCTGTAATTGATATTCATGCAAGAGGTTAAAGATTGACAATTTCACAAAAAGAACTGATAAGCTTTGAAAAGAAGGTAAAAGTTACAGGAAAATCTCAGGCAACCTGAATATGCCATTTACTACCCTTAGCTCATTCATTGCAAGGTTAAAAAAAAAAAAGACAAAAACCTCAAAACTTAAAAACCAAAGAAGAACAGGTGCTCTATGGAAGATTTCTTCAAGATCTTTGACAAAATTAACGTGTCAAATTAAACAAAATCCAATGTTTACTCATCAACATTTGCAGGATGATTTGCTTTCACCAGTTATATGTGTCACTTAATGGACAATAAGCAATTAAATTCATAGGAACAATCTAAAGTCACGCAACCCTTGGAAAAGTCCACTGCTATTTAAAAGACACAGAGATGCTACATTGAAATTCATTCCTGAACATAAGGATAAGGAAAAACTGTGTTGGTAAAGAGTATTTCAGACAGACAAAACCAAAATTGATTTGTTTGGATAGAATCCTAGAAGTGATGCATGTAGGAAACATGGGTAATAGCTTCAGTTCCAACAGTGAAATTTGATGTCCTGTAGAATCGTAAAGTTACTGGCAACATATCAGTGATAAATGGTAGAGTGAATGCCACAGCATACTAAAATATTTTGGAAGCAAATTTAATGATTTTGCTTGAAAATTTTGAACTTCCTCCTGATTGGATCTTCCAACAAATTAATAATCCTAAGCACACTGCAAAACAGAACTGGCTTGCTGTAAATAATGTAAACATCCTGAAATGGTATGGTCAGGTCAGGTCACTCCATAGATTGTGTATCTGTGGCACTATTTGAAAATACAAATCCAATCAAGAGCTTCAACAAACAACCTGGATCTGAAGACCATATGTGAAGAAAAATGGAACAAAATTTCAATTATAATTTGCAAATCATTAATTAAGAATTATGAGAAGAGGTTGGTGGCTGTATAAGTGAATAATGGCTACTCTACTAAGTATTAAATGAAGATTATATATTGTTTTTTGTATATGAATACTTTTTTCACCCATTAAAATGGATGAATTAAATGAATTTCTATTAAATCTTTCTTTTCTATGCATATTTAGTTATTATGCATCTGTGTACAATTAATTATATTAAAAGTGTGTTTATTGATTAGTTGGAAATACAATAAATTAAAAACCATTTCATCATTAACATCTTTGCAAATCATCCTTTCAAAATTTCAAAGTAAGTTTTACTTTCTTAATTACTATTTCACTAAATATTTTTATTTTATGCATTTATTTTACTTTAAGTCATACTTCAATTTAGTAAATTTTTGTTTAAGTTGGTAGACTTAAGAACCTAGAGACAAAACCCATATTTTATCAAGTATCTTCAAACTTAACAAAAAGTCAATAAAATATTAAATAATTGCTGAAAATGTTAATTTGTAAAAATTACCATGTACTTAAAAACAAAAAAGAACAAAACACATTCACTTAGATTTCATAAATTCATGTCAATTCTAGTCATCCATACCAGCTGTCATCACCTCAGAACTTATCGATATATCAATAAGGATAACAGAAAAACAGGACCCATCATTAAGAAGTGCTTGTATATTACTTTTTATACCAACAATTTGAACAATACTACTATGTGATCCTAAGTCATGATAACTTTTGACTTCATGTTATCAATGAACAGTTTCAGGTAACCAACTTCAATTATGACACTTGGGTCAACCTATGGGATGGTTTTCCAGCAATTTCCAAAAGTGCTTTATGCTGGATCAACATCAAGAAATCTTCTTTCCTGACAAATCAACCATGTCGAGATTCAAACCCACATTTCATGTTTGGAAAGCAAATATTCTAAACACACCCATTTATAACTATAATATAACTTTGGCTGTCATTTTTTTTTTTTTTGAGAGCTGTGGTCAATAAGTAATTTAATCACCCAAAAAAAGTGTCAAAACATTACATTGATCTTTGCATGGTAATCGATAAAACTGACCTTGGTTCTTTTGGGCCTCACTTCGTAACTGATTGTGCTTCTCAGCAGCTTCTAACATCAGATTTAACTTTTCTGAAGGCTGTAAAAGAGAAAACCACAAAGACATTTGCAGCCAATTTAAGTTCATTCAAAGACCATAATTATAAACTCCAACATACAATAAGTGATTACTTAAATAACCACCAACTGTAAAAGATGTAAACATAAATTAAAATAAGAGCAAACAATGAATAGAACTCAGTCCTAATTTGAAAACCTCAATTCTCTTATAAGAAAGCTTATATTTTCTATCTCCTTTTATCTAGTTCATTTGGATAATTACCATGAAAGTATTTAAAAGACACAAAGAGGCAACATTACAGCAGTAACTGAAAGCAAAGCACCAGATCAGATCACATTGCTGATTCTTCTTTGGATTCTATCAAGAAGCTCAAGGTAAATAACAGGGACATCAGACCATATGTGGCAGCAATATTCAAAGCAAGGACAAAGAGTAGATGTTAATGTTTATGTGTGTGTGTACACATCATCATCATCATCCCCTTGACTTTTGTAATCATACATGGGGGGAATCTGAATGCAGAAACCACTTCCATAATAGTCTATCAAGAGCAGCCATCAGCAATTCTTGTAACATGTCCAAACCACGCCATTTTTCTCCATTTGACAGTGTCAAGAAGAGGTTCCTAGTGGCTCACAAACTTCTTAACCCTTATCCACACAAACCCATTAGTTTATTATGTTCGCAATAGAAGATACCAAGGAGCTTTCTCATCTTCTCAAACACTTGGATCCGTCTCTCTGTTTCTGTCAACAGTGTCCATGTTTCACATCCATTATAATAGGCTTACCTTGTTCTCTTATTGGGTTAACCTGATCCTTTGTTACACTCCCCACTGATCTCCTGATCACAGCACCAACATTCAGGGGGCAGGCATTTCCTTCTGGTTCTCCTTCACAGGGAAGGTACTTCATCCTCATTGTTGTCACTATCTCCACTGCAGCAGGAGGCACATTAAACAATGTGGAATCTACTTCCAATTCCTTTGTATGCAAAACCAGTCTATTGCTGTAGTGTCACGTGTGAGTGTTTTTATATATATATATATATATATATATATATATATATATAATTATAAAATGGATCAAATCATTTTTCATTTCTTTTCCTTAAACATTATTTTATATGGATACTTACATTTGAGTAAATGCTCTGTTTATTTAATTAAACAATATTTTTACTTAATTACATTTACCGGCCCTCAATCAAATAAACAGACCATTTACTTGAATATAAGTCTATCTAAAATAATTACAAAACTAATTTTTTATATATATATATATATATATATATATATATATATATATATATAGGTATAAATGTGGATAAATCAAATAGATATTAGCAACTGTATATACATGGATAGCATGGATACACAGGTAAATCTCTATCTATAAAAGGCAGAATGTGTGTGTGTGTGTAACAAATGCACGGCCGCAATTTTCGATGGATTTGCATCAAAATTTACATGCACACGGTCCAAGTTAGCGGAAAGGCCAAGACCAACATTGCATTCCCCAACTCCCATCGATAGTGGAAATAATTGGCAGTTTTCATGTAGTTTGTGGCCATTTTCTACTAGCCAGAGTGATAGCCTATGGCTGGCTGGCTGCCATGAATAGGCAGGAAGATTCTATTGGCCAGCATGAGAGCCAACAGCTGACTGACACGAATGTCAACTAGCATGCTAGCATGCAAAAAAAATCAATAGCTGCATTCATCACAATTGACAGAAATTTAAATCTGCATGGCACTTTAATCCAATTGGCTCATTCGCTTGCTTAAACTCAACGTTGATTCTGATTCCGCAGAACTGGATTGGGTGTGAAAAAGTATTTGTTGTTAACATTCTTTTTTCATTCAGTTACGAGTCCTTTTTTTAAAGCTGATCGTTTTGTATTCATTTTGTTTAGTTCTTTTTTCATAACAGATTTAATGTTTAGTATAGAGCTAAGAAAAAATTTGCAGTGTGAGATAGGCAAGAAGTAAGGCATGTAGCAACATCAGCATGGCAAAGGGCACTCCTTTAAAGGCAAGGAAGGGCAAAAATATTTTAACTCAAGTGATAGCGATTGCTGTATGAGTTGGATGATTTTTTAATCAAGCACGGGCAATGCCGAGTCATGCTGCTAGTGAATAAATATTTACTAAAACTACAAAAACTGTGCTCAATGTGGTTAGAGCTAAGAAGTATATATTAATAAATATGCATATACTTACATTGAAGTGCAATTTAAAGTTTTGTTGTTCTACCAACTTATCAGGCATGAATTATTAATTTTGATTTTAAAAAAAATATACTGTCTCATGGGAGGAATGCTAAATTAAATGCAGATTCAAAGCTCAAATTTAATATAAATTTAATCTAATATTGAGAATGTGTGTGTGTATATATATATATATATATATATATATATATATATATATATATATATACACATACATACACACACACTTTGGGGATCCCAGTTATTCAAAAAGCACTCTTTTAAAAGACAGTAAGTGAAAAATAACAGTTATGAAGTATACACAACTTTTAACATTCTCATTTGCATTTCAGGCATATCAAGTGTGTAAACAGTATATATATATATATATATATATATATATATATATATCTATAAATAAATAAATAAATAAATGATTCATGTAAGTAAAATTTGTCACTTAGCTGATAAATTTTACCTTCATCATCCCAGTTTTGTAGACAGAGCTGTTCATCCACTCTTCAGGTAATATCAACAGTTTACTGCTTATATTTTTTCAATTTATTCTTTTTATACACATTTAGCTCTGGTGTAAATTTTCTTGTATTCTCTGTGTTTGTGTGTGCTCTTCTCTGCGCCCGTCTGCATGGACGTGCATTGTGATAATTTTGCCTTTTCTTATTTTTTGTTTTTATCTGTAGCAGACTTAGTCTATTTTTGTTCTGGCTCGAGACATGTGACCTAATTTTTACTTATTTATGGACACTTTAGTTTTTTGCTAGGGATGTTGTATTTCATTTATTTACATCTTTATATAAATAACTGATATTAATGCATAGGCAATATATATATATATTTTGACTGTCCTGGTAAAATAGACAAACATGGTTTTTAGTTTATTTTATCAGCCCATTTCTCTTAAAATACTCAAAAGTATAACATTGTCAACCCCATGTTTTTTTTTAATCAATTCACCCCAAGCAAGGTTGATACTGTTATACATTGGGAGTGTTTTTAAGGAAATGTAGGTGGGTAATTGAGTGGAACTTCTTGCTGATTTCTTGTTCTGAGCCAGTAAGCATTACACAAGCTGCACATCCATTTGTTTTGGGGGGTTTTTGTACTCATCACTAATATGCCAAGTCTTTCCACACTTCATTTATAGGGGTTTGAGAAAAAAAAACTTTCAGCAATGTGTGTATTAAGAGATTCTTGATAAAATACAAAGAATAATCAGCAATGTTATTGGTCCTGACCTGGCATCTTGCCTTCAGTCACTTTCCCACTGCTGTAATGTAGCTTTCCTGTGCTATTTCTATAAATACTTTCATAGTAATTGTTCTGATGAACTTTCCTCTATGACACCTAGACTTTGTGAATTTAAGTGCAGTACTAGATTGGCAGCAAGGTCTCATCATTTTACAGTTGAAATGGCTTGATGTAACTGTAGAGTAAGTGTCCACAGTTAAATCTAAATGGTAGAACCACCTAACAAATACAAGTGATAAAGTTTGTAATAAACAATAACAAGAACTGGGCAAAAAATAATACTGAGCAAGCAAAACAATAGATACAAGACAAAGCAACATTAATAAGGTAAAAAGTTTGCAAACTAAGAACTGGTGTTGACACACAAGAATGAATTTAAATAAACAAACAGTGTTCTAGCTTCAAGACAAGACACTGAAACTGAGTTAGATGAGACCAAGAAGTGGCTAGGAAGAAACCCCAGCATGCATTTGTGTGGTTTGACCTATAAATGGCCAAGGGAGGGTATTTTGCAGTCATTTCTAAACTGATTGGAATCAACTGTAAGTTCTATGCTAATAGTTTCTTCTCTAGTACTCTCTTCTGGCTTCTTGCTTTCCAGTCAATTTTGATCTTGAAGAATTTAAATGCAATGTAAATGGTTATCTTCTGTCTTCTTAATTCCTGTTCATTTATTGTTCCCCCTCACTGTACTTAATAATGTTTCTTTCCTCATATCATCACACACTCAGTAAACCCCTTGAATCTCAGTGGCTTTATTGTCTTTCTTGGGGTGAAATAAGAGAAACAAAAATATGATTAGGACTCACTGAAAGAAGAGGGTCAGCCATAGCTTTAATCCACTGTAACGCTTCCATTGTGCATGACCGAATTGTCTCAGTCCGTCCATGCCAGTAGACACGAGTAGTTCCAGTTTCATAGGTAGGTGCAGGTCTGAAAAAAAAGAAATATCTTCTGATGTAATAATGTCGGTGAGTAAAATTTGCATAGACTATTTCTTACTACCCACAGGCCTATTAATGATAGTACTGAAACAGAAGAACTGCCTGTTGTGTTTAATTTGAATAAACTATGTGTACTATGATCAGTATTTAGCAACAGACAACTACTATATGATTTAAAGATTTAATTATTTATTAGGTCTGTGGAAAAACTCTCACCACACTCTTTTTTAAAGACTGATTGAATACACAGAAAATTTTTGTTTTTTAAATGTAACTACTGGAAACCTTTACACACATCTGATACATAGCGAACGATACTCAGATTTATTAACTGATTTGATTTTTTTTTTTTTTTTATTTTGTTTACAACTTAACCATTTCTGGGTTATTTAAAACCAAAACATTGTGTATTATAAGAATAATTTCTTCTTTGACAAGTGAATATTGTATTAACATTTATTTTGAGAATAACAACAATTCTTTTCAATATATAAGTCCTACTAGTTACACTATTTACATTGTTTAAACTGTTGTCTTTATCTTCATTCTCATATTCACAAATTTGGCTGTTATATGCTCTAGCCTTCTTCAGATGATATATGTCGGAATTTTCAAACCGAAGCTTTTATTTTGTCCACCAGGGTAGATTGTTCTAGTTCCACATGCCATGCCTTTTCTGGATATTTCAGTTTTCAGTTATTTCCCTTTTTTTCTGGTTCGGTTCCAAATTCCAATATATATTACCTAAAGAAGGCCAGAGCATACAATGGCCAAAACATTGTAAATACAATAATAAATATGAGGACAACAGTCCAAATAGTGTAAATAGTTACAATACCTCATCTCAGAAATATAGACTACTATTTAACACAAGGCTGGAGAGAGAAGAGATGGATTCATACCTTTCCCCCAAAGGGTATTTGCAGGTAACTGAATGTAATGAACCTGACTGGAATTTAAACTTGGTTCTACAATTTCTCATTCTAAGCTCCTATCCATTGCTGCATCCACAGATTTCAGGTAGCTTAACAATATTGGCATAGAAAATGAAATCTGTAGATAGATTCACCTATCATCCAGTTTGCATACCTTCCCAGTCATTTGGACAGGAGTAGAGGTTTATATCTTGTTTAGGGTTGGGTTTCCAGTTCATTCTAAACTCTTTTCCTTCTCTTTCACCTCTAGTAGCCTCTTGTGTCTTAGTGGCATTATCACCTTGCTTGGGGTGAACTGATAAATTTTTTTTTTTTAAATTGCCAACCAGAATTCAAATTCCATACAACTTTGTAAATACTGAGGTTCCTAGTCTTGGTTGGCAACAAGTCTAGGAGACTGACAACTGAATTCAAAATGCACCTGCATCTCTTAACTTGTTGTTGATGCTGCCTCCTGTTCCACAGGAAATCTACAGTTTCAGCAAGGAATGCTTAAGCAAGATATTGTTAAAAGTAAGCCTTAATTAACAGAGATGACAAAAAAGCAACATTTCATTATTCTTCCACTTTTCAACAGTGTGATCCAAATAAAACTAAATAGGCTTAGAAATAAACACCTAAACACCTTAACATTTATTTCTCTGACATTTGTGACAATTTTGGCTATGTAGAATCGTTTCTCTTAGAATGTTTGCTACATATCCTAGCTCACTGTGAAACTAATCTGAACTCTTCAATCTCATCCCCTGAATTCTCTATTCCTGTTTATCTTCCTATCTTTTGAAAGGAAATGCATTGTCAATTTCCATCTTCTGTCTTCCTTATTCCTGTCTCTTTATTGCCCTTTTCCTCAGTAAAGTCCTCTTGTTCTATTTGACTTCCTGTAACCTCTTGTCACCTTGCTTGGAGTGAAATGATTAAAAAAAAAAAAAAAGTTTCAATTGTTGATAGCTGTAACTGATCTGTCTACAGGAAGTGGGAAAGAGAGATGGAACTGGGATCAGTCTAGAGGAAGGGGGTTCTAGCTGCAGTCAATCTGAAAGAGGGTGCTCTTGCTAGGATCAATCTGAAAAGGGAGATTTTGCTGGGATCAACCTAAATGTGGGCGGATTTTACTAGGGTTAATCTGAATGGGGCACATAAGCAATGAGGAGAGTTCTAGTAAGCAACAGACCAGTAAACAATTATTTGGGAGGTATGTGGGGCTCTAGTAAGGAACTACTACTAAATTTTTGCAATTACAGGTAGAATTACCTGTAATTGCAAAAAAAAAAAGTTTTTATCATCACAGATTGATTAGATCCATGTGTCTGATGACTTTGTCCAATGATACTTTTTTTTCTCTTGAACTATTTTGCAATTATATTTCGGACTTAGTCATTAATTTTATATCAAAATAGCTATTTGTTTATAACTTTGAAATAAGTCATTAACATTCCAAATTTTGTATGGATAACCAAACACCTTTGTGTAATTAATACGCATTTCAGCCAATTCTTTCTTCCACCTTCAATCTATGAAAAAAAGAGTGGAAAAAAAAAGCTATTTCTCCAGAAGATAACAAGCATGGTAATACCAACCGATTCTGTTCATTTCAACCAGATACACAAACAAAATCATTACCTACATCTCTGTACTGAGGTGATTCCAATCTAAACATTGAATAGTTTCCCCAAAATCTTTTTTTTGCATGGATATAGTAGCAATATCAAAACATTAAGGAGGAGCTCAATTGTCTTAATTTTTCTTAACAGATTGTGATACTACGGACAACCATATATCAAGTCTGTTTATTAGCCAGCAGGTGGTTCTTTTTTAAGTCTAGTTTCCTAAGCAGTATCCACTTTGAAGAGGAACAGGGAAGAAAAAGAGTGGATGAGGGGTTTTGGAGATCAAGTGACAACAAAACCACAAATAGACGTTGGTCAATAATTAAAGTTATGCTTGGAATCAAAGTGAGTTCTGTTCTTGACAAGAGATAGACTTGTCTATCGTATAGTTCCGATGCAATCCATTCATAACGTCAGCCACATATTGAGAGGAGTAGATGAGCAAGGATTTAGTAGGGAAAAGAGATTCACATAGAAATTATCCAGTGTCATCTACCTAAAGTAAGTGAAGCCCTGACTAAAAGATTTACAAATAATATGGAATACAGGGATCAGGTTCTTATTTCCTGTTGGGGTTTTTTGTCTTTCATCTTGTTACCTTGTGAACATACAGCAGACCCTTGCCCAGTTGTCAGTGCAGACTAACATGCTTGAGAAACAAATTGCAATATGAGGTAATCCTTAGCCAGTCAGTGGAAAAGCTTTGGCAAAGGTCACGTTACTTGTTTACAAGATTACTTGCATGTGGTGAACACAAGTTAGTACAAGTGCCAAAGAAGCCCTAGATCCTGTGTAGACATGTTTGCCAACATAAATTACAGGTTTTCCTCGTTAGATTGGAGTGTCTAGATACGTGCCTCTCAGCAACTGGTCAAGAACCCACTCTTTCTAAGATGCCTCATGCTAATAAAAGCAACAAGAAAACCAGCAGTCAGCAAGATATGGTGTCTTGTGAAGTTGGTCCTGTAAGCATTTTGTTCCTAAAGTTGATATGGTTTCCGAGGCAATGTTATTTTTGTTGTTACTTCCCATCTCTTTCCTCCTCTCTGCCTATTACCCCTAAAAAAGTGTTTTGCCCAACCTCAGCACACTCTTGCCATACATCACAAAACTGCATTAATTTCAGGAAAAAAGATGCTATGTTTCAAAATGATATAAATATTTCAAATATTTTCTCCATATTGGCTTTATATTTTATTGATAAATTTTGATTACTTACTTTCCATATAATTTGTAGTAAGTATACTGTAAAGTAAGTTGCATATGAGTGTCTGGATGTAAATTAAAGGCTCTCACAAACTGTCGGCCATATTTATTGTAATCCACGACTTTGCAATCAAATAATTTGGCCTGTAAAAGATAAAAATACAAATCAGAACCTGTTGTCTCTCAGGGAATGTTTTCAATCACAAAGTCAAAAATATAATGTAATCATAGAGAATACATTTATCTCCCCTTATCATAATCTGCTATTTTGGAGTCAGATCTTTTGTTGTGGCATCAGGTTGGATGAAAATAAAATTAAATAAAATTAAAATTTAAAAAAAAAAATTCTATGGATGAAGCATTGTTTTTACTACATTTTTATTACTAGCTTTATTCCATATTATCATTGCTTTTTATCAAATACACTCTTCACTATTAAGTACTTTTTTGCATCTTATTATTGTTGCTTTTTAATCCAACACTCTAGGTTAATAAACTTCTCAACTGTTCAAATTAGATGATAATATGTCTAATAAAAAGCTCTTGTTTGATTTCTGTTTCAGTTGGCTCAAACTGCAACAGGGTACTGGCCCTTTTTAAATGCATGAAATTACAGGATGCTGATTTGGGGAGGCTACTAATTAGATGATAATTGTTAATATTCTCAGGAGAGTGGGTTAAATGGTTGAGAAGAAAGTTAAAAATGAAATGTACTAAAATTTAATTTTTAAAATAATAAAATGAAATTAAGAACAGTTCCAAGGAGAATTGAACCCAGATTTAACTAGACAAGATTCAGTAAAACTGAGCAAAAACAAGCTTCCCAACCCTATCCACTTTCTGCCGATAAGAAAAAGATGATTAATGTATTGTCCAAATTACTTGAGTCCAGAGAAACTGCAAAACGGACGTTTATTTACAATATGTTATTTGTAGAGAATGTGTGCGGTCACAGAAAATAATGAACTAAATTATTCTGGACTAAGAACCAAGGAACATCTGGTTTATTGAGAATTTGTTGTGTTGACAACCCAGGAAACAACTATCTTTAACAGAAAGAGAATTAAGAAGACTTTGAATATTCAAGGGAAATACCTTATGGCCAATTAGCAAGATCACTTGAGATTAGGATGTGCCTTTTTCTGCAACAATCATCTGCAATTTTTATAGTTGTCATTATTTTGGATTTCGGTATGAGAGAGAAAAGCCAATTTACAGGAATATGGAGATAATGAAATTAAGCATTGTGAATTGCCATTTTCTGTCACCTGTCATCAATCATTGTTATAGGAAAAGATTTCTCTATATAAAGCCAGTACGCATTTTGTTTGGTGGTCATTTTTCCAGAATGTGGAGCAGATGTCAGACATAAGGGGAACACCTGCATTTTGGTGGCTTGGGACAGCCCAGAATTGCTTATAAAACAGTCACTGCTAAAAAGCACATCCACAATTTCCAAGGTGGTGTGAAAACACAGACACATGCATAACCAAAGAATTGAGTGAGAATCGATTGACTAGACATCACTTTAACAGTTGCAACCAGAATCTCAAAATTACCATTCCTGCAGTAGAATATTTTGATTTTTAGTAGCTAATATAGACATTTTATTCAATCAGTTTTTCCTTATATTCAATAAACCTGTTGTTATCAACAGTGTCATGCATTTCATTGAAGGAGTTCTTATGCCAGCCTGAATTCCACCCAGATGAAAGTGATAAAGTTTACCACTGCCATAGACAGGAATTATACAATCATATACGTATATATGATGTTCACACTAGGCTTTGCAATTGATCCCAATATTGTAAGATTTTGGGAAACCAGATTGAACACTATGCAGCCATAGTTTATCTAATCAGTATATGGAAAGCGTATAAACAGTTCAAAATTCCTGCGGCCATCTGCCAACTTTGCACCATTTTGGACTTATCTCCAAAACTTAGACAAAAGCAATCTATCACTGTTAATACCATGCCCATCATGTATTCTGACCAATCACTTGCTATCCTGGCCCAGCCTTCTTATTCTATATTATTTGCCACAAGCTGTCTGATTTTGTCTGATCTAATTCATCAACTCTCAGTACTAAAGTCTTTTCTGTTTTTAGACTATGATCTACATAAATATGTATATCAATTTGCATTATATAAAACTAAATAAATTTTATATAATGTCATTGAATAAACTCAAGTGTCATTCATTTTATGGTGTTTTTTTTTTTATGAATTAAAAGAAAGTAATACAACAAACGTAATTTTCTTTTTCTTTTATGCAATTTTGTTTTGCTTCAAATTTTCTACATTTCCATCATCAATCCCATGACTGGGTGTGGCCATAGAGTTGTGCAGCTGAGCACCTGACCAGCTCCTCTATATGTCTCAGTATCTGTGAATGATTTTCCAGTCCACTCAGTGATGTTGTCAAACTCATTTTCCACTCTTCTTTTGCCTAAGGAAATAATTTGTAGGTTGACAGTGAAAAGATTGTTGGTTCTTATGATGTAGCCATACCATATAAAGTTTCTCTTTGTGACAAGAGGTCATGAGGTCTTCCAATTGGTCTGTTTCTTGTTTGATGGTGTCTCAGACTGCACCATTTATGACATGTTCTACATAGGAAATACTGATTATGGTTCTTTCACTTTTCATTTCTAATACTTTGAATTATTTGCTGTAATTCTACATTCCCAGGTGTACAGAAAGAGAGAGGGCCAATGAACACAACAGTCTAATCTTTGATTTCAGGCAAATGTTCTTGTCTTTCCAGATGATTTTTAGTTTGGTAAAACTGTCACTGTGCTGCTCTTGAAATTATTTCTATTTCATAGTCCTTTTCATTGATAATCGAGCCAAGAAATTTGTCTTACTACTTTAAGTTCTTGACCAACAACTTTTATATTGCTTTTAAGTGAGATTCTTCACATTGTTCATCATGAGTTCTGTTTCTCAGCATTAATGTCTGCCATACCAGAAAGATGTTTACTTAAGAAATAGCTGAAATTATATCTCTAGTTTTTTGCCACTGGCTTAAAAATTGCTTCTGTCAAGTATAAAAAGTGTACAGTAGATTTGTTCTTGTTCTAAGATATAACCTGATGCCTCCTAAAATGTTCCTCAAATGGTAAATTACTTTTCTTAATAAACTTTTCTATTATAACACATAGATAGAATCAAAAATTGGTCAGAAAAGTGGTCATAACTTTTACAATCAGGTAATTTTATTTGTTACTCACACTCTCCAGGTACATATCTTTTGCTTCTTTAATTCCTTGATAAAGATGATCATTCAGGTAAAAATTTAGTTTTTCTGGAAGCGGTAGCTCCCGTACTTCTTGGCTTCCCTAGCAAAAATAAATAAATAAAAAAAAATTTATTTAGAAACCAACATTTAAAAGAGAGGATTGTTAGATGGAAAAGGCAAAAAATGGTGGGGTCATATTATACACAAGAACACATTTTCAAAAATTTTTTAATAAGCTTACACTGCAATTATTGTATACACTTTTGACTCCTTCAGCAATGCTTAGTGTTGTAAAAAGTGATTATTAGAATTTTAATATAATCCAAACATACAAAAGTGTATTTATACAATTTTCTTTATTCTTGAGACGTGACAAAGATATTTATTTCTTATTTGAAACAGCAAAATTGCAAATACACTGACCACAAAAAAAATTTGAAAATAAGTTTCAAGATGTGATGTCAGTATTATTTTCATTTTTTCATAATTTAGATAACAATTTATCCATCACACCCTGTGCGTGTGTGTGTATATATATATATATATATATATATATATATGACAAATGAGGGCTTAGTAAAATAAAGAGGTGCTCAACTTTTATGGACACACATGTGTCTCCCAAGGTCTGCAAGTGTTTTGCAAACTTTTAAACAGATGGAACATATGGTTGAGGATCAATTCTCACAGGTTTCTGTGCAGGAACAGCAAGGCCTGCTTTACTGTGTGTGACAAAACCACATTGACAGGTAAGGCTATCATTGAGAGGTGCAGCATGCTGCCAACTTTCTTTAATATTTGAACGCAGTTTATCCTGATGTTCAAATTGGCCTTGCTCAAACGTTTGTATCAACAAGAAGCAGAACAGATGCCAGCTCAATATTTTTGGATTTTATTAAAATTATAATCATTCCTGAAGGAGTCAAAAATATATACAGTAATAGCAACGTCAAGGTAATAACCGTCACTTTGACATATCATTTTTTGTGGGTATGAAGGTTAAATATTGTCAAATTTTTTTCTCATTTGTTTGTGAAACCAACAATGTTCCACCATTTGAAGTAGTCTTTTAATCAAGAATGTCAAACTTTCATATTATGTTGCATTGCTAAAGGTAATGAAAAATAGGTTTTGCATGTCAACAGAGACTGAAAAAGACAATGGTTATCACAAAATAAGAAACCAGTGCCAACACCAAAACAAGGACTTGCTTTGTGTCTAGTGCAAGATGAAAGATGTCATCCATCATGATTTAATGGAACAAGGAAGGACTATCACTGAAGATGCTTATTGCAAGTAACTTGTCTGGATAAACAAAGCATTATGCCAAAAGTGTACTGCTTTGGTATATAAAAAAAGTGCTATTCTTCAGCATCACAATTCTGATGTTTGGAAATTTGGTCAGGTATGAAGGAAGTTGGTTTATCCAAGCAATTTTCACTTTCTGTTCATTTATAGAGGTACTTCAATAAGTCTGTGTGGTGGAGACATACCTCACCAAAGCAAGAGAAGGCAAATTGTCTGGACATGTGCTTGTAGACATCATAGGCCTTCAAGGCAAACTTCAGCAAATCAATGTTGAAGTGACACAGTGTATGTGTTATAGGCAAGAATGAGGCTAACACAAGCAAGGGATCTCAGTTTCTTTATATCCTTCCAAGGAAGTATATAAAGAGCTGACATTTTGTTTTGGGAGGGGGGGAGTTTGTTCTTTGAGACTGGTGATGGCCGTACTAGTGTTCCAGAGAAAGACCGATAGGAGAACCAAATGAGGCAAATATTAAGAATGTTACATTTTCGCAAATACAAGATTTTGCTGGTAACATGCAAATTTCCAATCGTCAAAAAGAATATAAAAAATCACATTACCAATGGGGGAAGGAGGAATTGTTTTAGATCTTACAATAGTTGCATAGTTGAGTATAGGTTTTTTGTGGTGTACAAATGGTAAGAGCATGAGAGACTGAGAAGAGAACAAGTAAAAGAGCTATTGCTGCCAAAGTGAACATCAAAGAACTAACGAGAAAGACAATGAAATTAATTCTCTCACAAGGGAACACTAATTACACGTTATTATTAAACTTTATATATATATATACAGAATTGTCTGTATATAGATATCAGATCACTGCAAAAGTGTTTGTTTTAATGTAGTGGAGACATACCTCGCTGAAGCAAGAGAAGGTAAATTGTCTGTACATGTGCTTGTAGACATCATAGACCTGCGAGGTGAACTTTGGCAAATCAATGTTAAAGTGACACAGCATATGTGTTATCAGTGAGAACGAGGCTAACACAAGTGAGAGATCTCGGTTTCTTGCTCGAGCCCAAGGAAGGATAAAAAGAGTTGACTTTTTGTTTCAGGGGGGAGTTTGATCTTTGAGACTGGTGAAGGTTGTACTAGTGTTTCAAAGAAAGAGTGATACTACTGTTCTTTACGGTGTACAGGAAACAGAGTCCTGAACAAAGCTTGTTCCAGTCTCCACATTAGCTGTCAGCGAGAACAGATTCAAGTGGAAATTTATTTTCCTACCACCCAATCTTCATTTAAATCTCACAGTCTGTACCTGAATTATGATAAAATAACAATTATTTTATACAATGAATGTTTATTTTCAAATATAATAACATCTCTTCACAGACTCCCCAATAAATTGTGCATTGGCAAGGAAGTAGCTTATGTTGATTTATTAATGAATATCTATACTGTAAACATGGTAGATGAACATAAATTTTTAACAACAATGAATTTGTAGATCTAAGTAAAACAAAACGATACAACATGAATCAAGACAGAAGAATGGGAAATTGGAATTCTAATCAATTTATTATGCGCAAATCTTTTCCAAGGTTTTATACTTACATTCCAAACACCTTTGTTTTCTTTTACACAACAATCAATGTAATATGTCACAACAACATTTGCCATCCCATCTATTGGGGCATGCTGCAAACAAAAGTTAAAAAATAAACATTTAAGTTAAATAGACATGTAATCAAACTGATGTTTTTAACTGATCAAGGCAAACACTTCTTGCAAGATATGGAATTTAATATTGGTCAGCTGAATACCAATAAAAGTCTAAGTCAGAAAGTTTACAAAATATCTATATATAGATAAAAGATTTATTTTCAAGTAACAAATCTATTTTCTTCAGTCTATAAAGACCACTCTGGTTTTTTTGAGAGGACCTCATGAAAAATAGAGAATATGGAATCTAGAATATATTAGGAATATATGATAATTTTTACAAAATGATATAAACACACTACCATTGTTTTTTTGTGGGTGGGGATCCTACAAAGATTTCAATGTCCAACATGGAGGTTAAGCATATAAAATGTTTAATACTTTTCATTTGTCAGTAGTAGTACATTTTTTTAATCATTTCACCTGCAAGAAAGGCCTGTAAGACAAAAGGGATTGTTAGAGAAAATGAAAAAAAAACACTATTAAGGAGAGAGAACAAGAAAAGAACAGAAATTAAGACAACAGAAGATCAAAGTTGACTGGGATGCAAGAGAGTTCCACAAGCGAGAAGAGTGAAAGAAGAAACAGATAGCATAGAGCTTAAGTAATATAAGAGAAAATGTTTGTTAAGGAGAGAGGGCAATAAAAGGACAAGAATTAAGAAGATAACAATTCACATTGTATAGAAATTTTTGAAGATCAAAGTTACAACCTGTGAGATGGTAAGTTGATGGCTATAGAGTTCTTTATTTACTGGATGCTGTCTCCAGGATAAATTTACCATACAGCATCCTTCTTTATGTACTATCTAATTTCCTTTCAGATGATCTTATTAATGTCCATGCTATATTTCTATACAAAAGGACTCATGTAGCAATAACTTAAAAGTATGTCTTATATGCAATGTCAAGCTATCTGTTATACTAGTATTTACCAAAACACTGTAGATTGCAAGTATTTGTACATTGTCTCACTCTAGAATACAATAATATTAAATGATGTGGAGGAGATCTGATATACCATCAAATTCTTTCATCAGTTCAAGCCAGTGACTGCTTTAGGATGACATCAGTTCTGGGTAACTGGCTGCAGAACTCATTGAAAAACTTAGAGAATACAAAAATTACATTGACTTAATTTGTCTTCATCTTGAGTTGATAGCAGCTCAAAATGCAAAGAGAGCATATTTTGTTCAGAGCCAGTTGTATATGAACTAACAGAGAGGAAAAAAATAATCTACTTGGAGTGGACCGATTTAAAATCTAGCAGATGTTAATGACTTCAATGTGGAGGTGGGAACTGATAAAGATGTTTATTAACTCTTCTTCAAAATACACTTTCCTCACACATGGCTTTGTATCTCATTCCAAGTTGAAGATACCTGAGGCGAAACTCAAAGTCTGAATGGCTTTTCAACTTATTATCCCTAGAGTCAATTGGCTAAAAGTAGTTTTATAAGAAATGCCATGTAAATAAATAAAAAATATAAATAAAACAATCCTTTTAACATGTATCTGCTGTTCTTTGGATCCCAACTTTTATCGGGTACGAGGGGCATTCCAGAAATTTTAAAACTTTTTAAGAAAAGGCAGTTATAACTATCCTAGCTTATTTATTTACACTATCTATATTCAGACTATTGTCCTCATCTTTGTTGTTGTTATCACAATGTTTTGGCTGTTCTACCCTCCAGCTTTCCTCAGGTGTATATTGATCTGGATAACCTACAGGTAATTCTGATCTGAACTCTTTATTTAATTTATGAGGGTAATCTATTCTCGTTCCACTGCTCATGTCTAGAGATATCATCCTAGATTATTATAATTTTAGTATATCATAACTATATATCTATCAAGCTGACCTGCAAACTTTTGTTATTCCAGATTGAAGGAGAGAGAGGTAACAGCTCTTTGAACACAACCTACTAAACACGGTTTGTCACAGCTGACTAGTTTACAGAATGCAGTTGGGACATGAAAACAGTTTGAAAGATTGCCTATGCAATAAGGTTTTATGTTGACAGATGTAGGTATCAAAATTGTCCCTCCCTCTCCCTACAGTCCAGACATTGCTTTCTTAGACTTTTGAATGTTCTCCAAGCTGAAGGGGAATCTCAAGGGCAGTTGTTTTGAAGACATTGAGAAGATGAAGGAGGCTGTGACAAGGACACCTTGATTTTGTGATGATCCCATGTAAGTCATCCAAAGTGCTTGGAGTGCTACAACAAATGCATTGAAGTCAGAGGATCTTTATTTGAAGGAGATTAGAGTTTTGTATTTCTTTGAAATTAATAAATGCCTCTCTTGAAAAAATCTCAAAACTGCTGGAATGCACTTCATAAACTCAGTTGTCCTAATCCTGCAATAAGCGAGGTTGATCCCTTGACCAAATCATATCATTAGCTATCAATCCACTTCATAATGACACAATGATACAGCAAAGAGGGTAAACTTGGATAAACGTGCACAAATAAGATGCAGTGTCAAAAGGATGGTTTTTGCCATGATACAACTTATTTAACTACCATCACTCTTTTCGGCAATGTTTGTCTTTAAAAAGCAATGATTATATGTAATAAAGCCTAAACATGAGAGTGAATTTATAAATTTTCTTTGTTCTTGAGAATTAACAAAAATAATAAACACTATTTATTTATTAGATTGTTTATTTACACTATTATATTTGTTGGAATGATTGTTAAAACATCAGTTAATTGCCAATTGGTTCAAACTTTATAAAATGCTAAATAATAAAGATTTCCTATTAATCCAACTAATCCTATTAATTGGTTAACATATTTTAATCATTTGGTAAATGTTTTTTGAATATGTAGCTTGTAGATAATGTATTGGTAATTTTTTTTCTTGTATTGCATGTATTTTCACTACAAAAAGGCATTGTTGGTAATTCTTTATGAAAATGTATTGCTGGTAATTTTACTATAAAAATGTATTTTTATTTATATTTTTAGTGTTGTATTGATTTTCATTTTGCTATAAAAAGTATTTATGGTCATTTTACTATAAAAATGTACTGTTGATTTTTGTATGGGGGAAATATTTGCCCATGGACCCTAACAGCTGCTATCACCTGGATCAGGGTGGACTTATGAACAACAGCAATTAAGAGGTGGTTCCTTGCTCCTCAAAACCTCCAATTTTCTGATCAGATGAGGTTTATAGTCATACCCAGGACATTTTAGATTTTAGAATGTTGTTGATATAAAATTATTCTTGTAAATAAACAATTTAATAGTGTATAATATTTTTGTTGTAAATTCTCAAGAACAAAAAAATAAGAGAATGAATTCACTTTCATCAGATGTTTAGGTTTTATTCCAATTCTAATCATAGATTTTAAAGCAATAAACATTGCTGAAGAGTGAAGTAGTGTTATGGCAAAAACTGTCCTTTTGACACTAATTCTTATTGCAGGCCGGTTTATTCATGTTTGCCACAAGAATAAAGAATGAAAATAAGTGGAAGAAAACTTAATCCAAAGAGAAAGATCAACTCACATCATTATTTGAACCCATAAGTCCATTTTTAAAAGCAATAAGATTTACAGATTTATCAAACCACCGATTAGTTGGATTTCCAGCAATGGCATCTTGGAACATCTGTGGAGAAAAAAAAATAACAAGATATACCAGTTACAGATAAACAAATCATGGTGAAAAATAAAAGTTTGCAGTTAAATGTATGGTACTTGTATTTAATAAATTACCCACTATACATTTTTTGTATTTTTTAATCATTTCACCCCAAGCAAGGTAGGAATACCACTAGTATGCAGGTAGTTACAGGGAGTGAAAGTGAAAGAAAAGACTGAGAATTGGGATGATTGAGAAAAGGACAGAAGATGAATGGGGGTTCAAGAGGACAACAGAAGATGGCGATTGATGTTGCATTTCAATTTTTGAATATTGTAGCCATCAGGGAAGCAAGTAAATGGAAGGGAGTTCCACAAGTTGGAAATGCCAGCTGTATTTAGCTATTTCAACAGTAAAAGGGTGGGTTGTATAGTGGATAATCTATTAAAAAGAAAAAAAAATGGATGCCAGTAGTCACAGAGAATGGACATCTTTTACATCACTCCAAGAAAGCAATGTGCTTTTAAAGAAAAATAAGGGTAAGTTTATCTATCTATCCAGCTATTGTTTTTTATCATTATATTATATAGATTTTTCTTTTCTATTTATAAAAACAGACATTTTATTTGTTTACTATAGTGTAATATAGCGACAACTCTAAGAAGAAACTTATGAAGGCTTATTTGATTAATTCAGCTTTAGCGCTGAAAACATTTATTTTATTATAGTGGATGGTTACTAGTGAGAGGAGAGATGGGATGTACTTATTTTATTATCACAGCTACCTTCTACTTTAGCCTGGAGTAGCTGCTCCCCATCATAGAAAGGAGTAAAATACTTAATGAGGCAATAGAATGAATAAAACTTATACTAAAATAATCGTAATCATGAAGAATGTATTAACACAGAGTATTGGGATAAAAAGCAACAATAATAAGATTATTGCCTAATATTAATGAAACTTGGAACTGCACTCGACAGGGGGTTCAAGGTGCAATATGCTCCTGAATTGGTTGGGCCATTATGTGTCATTTAAGATGTATCTCAGGAACATACATACGTACAAGATTAAAGTTTTAATATTATATAGATTTTGTATTATTTACTATGTTTTCTATTCCTTAAGATTTAAACAGTTTTAACAACAATTATAATAATAATTAAAATAATGGTTTTATATATATTTCCTATTATTACTTACTGATTACTTTCTATCATTTAAAGATAATTTATTATAAAAGTAGTAATTGGTATATTTGGCAATGATCCACTTTCCCTGATGTCCAGTGAAAAAAGTTTTGGATGTTGGGGTAGAATTGTACTTCCAATGGAGGAGCAGTCATTTTCAAGAGTAATTCATCCATGTTGGTTCCCACCCAGCACCCAACTCTCATTTGAGGCTTCAAACAGCTGTTTGCAAGCAATAGTAAACCACTTTAAATGGTGGGCAAACTAGGTGAGGGTAGTCAACAGGACCAAACCCTTGATAATTTGAGGTCTGTCAACCCTATTATTGCATGTGAAAACTGACTCCTGGCAGAGGAGTGAGTGAATAGGATCTACATAAAAGCAGTGCAAACAAGTGCATGGTCATGAAATCATAGTCATCTACTACAATCTGGAAGTCTCTGGTTGTATTGATTCCTTATGCCAATGGATAAACACTCCCCAGGCTGAGAGAGTGTGATTACCAGAGTAATGATTTTTTTTCACTATAAATTTTTCTTGCACAGGTCAGTTTTGAAAATTAAAATTAAGTCCTCTAGAAAGAAATGAAACTGATCTTGTCACTATAGTATCCTGTAGGTAAAGAAAGAAAATCCCTTTTAGCACTGCTTTATATAATATCACCTAACAGGCATTAAGAGAAGTTTCCCGGCATAAAAGGTGAGGTAATCTGACAATGATTTTGAATCTTATAGTTTAAATGAGTCATAAATTTACTTAATTTGCTGTGCTCTCAAGAGTCAGCAACATATATATTGGATGATAAGTGGAAAGCGTTGTAAGTGTAAGCGTTCTCAAAGCAAATTTGTCACAGATTACTTTAACAAAGCGTGTAACCAGTCAGGAAAATAAGTCACTCTCTCAGCAAACGCCGTAGCCAAAAATGCCCGAATTTTCCTTCCCAATCGAGAACACCAACTGCTTTTATCGGCAGAACTTATTTTTTTCATTCGTCGACAGCTGGGATAGGATGCTCCGTAATTTGCATATCAATATACTCTTATAGCGACTCCTACGACGGACTTGTTTCTTTTTCCGTCACAGAATACACGCGACGTGCTGTCACTTGGGTCGACGAGGTAAGTCGCCGTTTTCTTCGCTATAAGATTTTTGCTGACTTCTTTTTGGTAATCCTTCTTCGGCAGATCGCACACAAAACACAAACTTTTTTCTGGGGTAACTGATTATTACTTTCACTACAAGTGTGAAAAAAGTTTGCAGATGATGTGGCATAATAACAAGTAATTTAATATAATTTTTTGTGAATCAATTTACAATGTAATTGATGATATAATGGTAATTAATATTAATGTTAAAAAAAAAAATCCTGTCAACTAACAGAAGGAAGCACTTTGAGCTGTCCAGTTGATAAAACAACAAGAATTACCCTCATATAAAGATTATTAAATTCTTGAAGCTTACAGCTCATTAAAAAGAAACTGGGGATGGAGTACAAAACTCTAAAGGGAACCCAAAGGACAACTGCTGAATAAATACACTTTCTGTTAAAGTTCTCCCTGTCTTGGGTTTTTCCTTTTGCATTACAAACCAGACTGAAGAATACTATGTCTTTTCAGCATGTAAGTGGACATGTCTTCACAATATCCTTTTCTTTAAAACCTGTGAATTGCAGTGACTATTATTGAAGTCATTTACCCATTGTCTTCTCTGGGGTTCTGTATTCAGGGTTTTCTTTCAGTAAGACTGGTTGTTCACATCAAGGTTAAAGAGTGAAGTCTACTCTACTGTTTTACCCATAGTTCGGGGAGATTGATTCATGCTTTTCCCAAGGGTATTAGTGTAAAGTAAACATAACAGATTTGATTAGAATCTGATCTTGGCTTGCTAACTTCATTTACTGCACCACTGGCCCAGACATTATAAATGCTAACTGTAGAGAAAAACTCTCTCCCATAGTGGACTAATTTTTATATTAAGTTAGGTTGGTCAATTTAATGACATATCAACTCAAATATGTCTTACGGGAGAAAAATCACAATGAATTAATAGACAAACAGAGGCCTAGTTTTTGCTCCAGTCAAACAGATAGACAGAGGCCTAGTTTGCACTTCAGTCAAAAAGGCAGGCAGAGGCCTAGTTTGGGCACTAGGCCAAAAAGACAGGCAGAGGGTCAGTTTATACCACAGTTTGGCCCCTTGGAAGGTGTCTTATTCTGTATACAGAGTATGCAGCCAGCACATTCCAAGCTTTGATGACAGGGCAGCTAGATTTTTTTTTTTTTTTATAGAAACTGAGATATCATGGTTTATTTCTGGCCATGCCCTCCTTATTGTAAGATCATTTTCTATTCCAATAGTTATTCTATAGTATATTCAGGGTCAATAACCTCATTGCCTACCCCAAGAGCAATGTTATTTTATATTTGCTCATGTATCACAACAAAGTGATTTTATTATCAAGAAGGCCATAACTAAGAATATTGCACCAATTGTGATGTAAGCATCAATAATGCATTTCTAAGTTAATTTTCCATAACACCTAATGAATCAAAAACTATGCAATGAATGTAATGAAAAAAGATGGGGGGGGGGAGGATTACAGGTGACTACAATTTTTAGGATTTATTTATTAAAACACATCAGCTTTAAAATAATATTTCTAACACTTTCTTAGTCAAAACTGCTGCCAAAGCTTTTTTATGTTAAAAAATAATAGTGCCTATACTTTTTCAAGTAAAATGTCATTTACAAATGCATATTTACAATAATGTTTATGTTCAATTAATTTCCATATTAAATGTATTTCATTATCATTGTGCATATCGCAAAAAAATAGAAATATTTTTAATTCAAATATTTCTTTTTATTTAAACTGATAACAAAAAGGAAAATGAATAAATATTGTTATATTGTGTTGTTCTACGACACATGATCAGTAATCAACTTCTACCTGTCTCTCTTTACTATACACTTTATTTCTCTTCTACTTAACATATGCAAACAGGTAGAATTCTATTTACCAATCCTCTACACCTCCCTGAACTGAAGTGGATTAATATCTTTGGTTGTTCTCAAACTTCTTTTACAACCCTTCCTCCTCTCCCCACTTCAGGTTTATGACCTGTTCTATTTAATAGAGATCTTGGTCTCGTTTTATCTTGTGTCTGAATCACTCTCGCTATCATCCAGAGGATTGTCTTCTATTGCATTATCCCTATCTGAAAAACTCATCCTTTCTTCTCTGTCAAGATCTTCTTCCATCACAATTTCTTCCTCTTCAACTCTGGGTCTTAATTGGTCAGAATGGGCCATTAGGCTTTTTCTTTTCTTTGATATAATAACCATGTTATGTCCCCTTTTGCATGATGAAATTAGCTCTCTTAGGACTTGCAACTTTATCTTTCTTATACTACATCTTTTCATTTGTCGAGTAAGGCATTGTTAATGGTGATCTTATTTGTTTTCAATCTGTCGAAGCTAGAAAGAGGCCAGTTATTTCATTTTCTCATCTTCTTGCCTTGTTGTCTTCCAATTTTTTAGCCCTAGCCAAGGCTGCAAAACCCCAGATCCAAGTCTCGACAAATTCTGGCCAATCCCAATGACTTAAACATCCTATTGGCAACATCATATTGTTGTATTGTGTTGTTCTACAACATGTAATCAGTAACCAACTTCCACCTGTCTCTCTCTTTCTCCTATAAATTTTATTTCTCTTCTGCTTAACATATGTAAATAGTTACAGTCCTATTCACCAATCCACTAAGATATGAAACTTAGTGAAAAGGTAAAAGATTATAAACTCACCTCAGTTTCATTTTTGGGACTGGTGTCTTCCAAAGTGACCACCATGATACTTTCTTCAATCAACTTTAAATTTCTGTAATTGTCAGGGTGAATACTTTGCAATTCACTGTGCAACTGAAAGAGAGAGCATTACTAAAAAATACTAAAATTACATTTAAAAAAATAAACATTTTAAATAATTAAAAAATAATTTTTTTAAATAATCTTTAAAAAAAATGTAGTTCCTATATTCAAATGCTTAACATGAATCTGATTTTATCTTACTGGTATAGATTTTGCTCTTGTGAAATAAAATACAGCATTTCAACAGAAATGTACATAAGGGCATCAATCTATCTTCAAGAAATAGGGGATTAATTTACAATGAATTTACTTGTGTTGGGGAAATCCAGAAATAGGAGATCAATTTCTCTCCAAGAAACAGGGGATCAATTTACAATAAATTGATATAGCAAACTGAATATTAAAAAAAATTTTGAAAAAAAAAAAAAAAAAAAAAAAAAAATTATTATTTTCTGGAGAGTTACATTTTTGCTGAAAGACCAAAACTTCTTTTCCTGATGAGGCCAGTTCCTTGACAAAACATGTCAAAGTAAAAATTTTCTAAATTGCCTTATATATTAGATCAATGCACAAAGAACAACACAGATAAGAAAACAGAATTTAACTTTCAGATGTTGCCATTCTTGTCTAAAATTTTGGGATTAAATTTTAATTATTCAATGAATTTCATGAACTATTCTGCTCCTTCTCTGCTGCCAACTTGACCACCACAAAAAAAAAACTTTTCAAACAATTCATTCTCCATTATTCTTCAGGAAACATTTTGTCTGGTGTCAAGTCTGTTATTGATCCATTTGTTGTATTGGATTGTACAATGATAGTGCTAAGCAGCAGACAAAAAATACCTTCTAAAGTTTAAACAGGTTAAAATATATGCTATGGATAAAAAAATTAAAAAAGTTTTTAATATTTTACAAAAAATTAACTGCATTGGTATAGTTCTTTTGAATGATTCAAATCCAAATATCACTAAGCCAAAAATTAATTTGCACTAGAACCCCACCTCCCAAAAAAAACAAAAAAAAAAAAAAAAAACTTACCTCGGCCCAGGTGCTTCTGTTGTGTGCTGTGAGAATTCCCACTGAGGGACCCTTTGGCTGCTGATCACATGTATCACGAATGTATTGCAACTGTTTCTGTAACTCAGGAGGAGTCAGTTGTTCTTTATAGTCGTCAGTGACAGTTAGGATAAAGACATGACCAGAACACAAAACCATCACATGTTGAGGAATGTCACCTTCAGACTCTGAGGGAGAAAGTAAAGGGCAAATGCTGATCAGGATATTAAAATACATAAATACATTGAATTATCTAAAGTAGACATAAGTATAGGATTCTGAACTTTTATATGTAATTTGACAAATTGAAAGACAACTTCAATCATCTCAACTTTGATCTGAAAACCTGAGAAGCCCAAGCATCAAACTGAAAAGAGTGGTGTAAGACATGTTTCATTAAGTTAAAGGGTTTTAAAGACAGTAGACTGAAGCACCATGATCAGCTGCATCAAGCTCTGAAGCAGAGACACCATCAAAATCCTGCTTTAACAAATTTCATCTGTCAGTGTGGTCTTGTTGCCCACAGCAAGGCTGGGCTAGTCTCACACTTAAGAAAGCAGAAATGAAATATGTCTTTCCCTTACCTGATTTTCTACACAATAGCCCCTGCTAGCTTGCATAAATGTAAAATGAAAGGCATCTAATGCTGACCCTCATTTGTCGTTCACAATAGGAGAGTCCACCATATATATATAAACTTAATTGCAATATATTTAGACATTGTAATTAAGCTTTTTATTAAATTTTTCTTGTGTTTGCACAAGTGATTTCTTTTCTGGACATAGAGTGTGTAAAAACTGCCCAAATGATCTGTTGGTCTGAGTGCTTTCATCTCATCTATTAGCCATTAGTCTGCAACATACTTGTGGAAAATATGACCATAATAAAATCATCCAAATGCAAAAAAAAGTTAAAAAATAACGTAAGCATTAATAGTAAAAAAAGAAACCAACTCTCAATAATATTAATTATGAACACAGTCACGATATGCTACGTTGAAAAATTAAACAACATACCAACCTTATATATAGATATTAAAAAAATATAGATATTCAGTCAAACAGAAAAACATCCTTGATAATGGCTAATAGATTAGCTGAAAGCAGTTTAATCCACCGATTTGGATAGTTTTAAAGAAAATAAATCACTTGTATGAATGCAAGAAAAATTTAATAAAAAGCTCAATCACAGTACCTTGTCAGTTGTCTTCAATGAAACTTGTATAAAAGAATAATTGCTGTCCCAATACACACACACATGCATATATATAAATAAAAGACAGAAACTGCAAACGTTTTTTGTTATAATGTGGATTTGTTTTAGTGTGTATATTATATTTTATTCTTCATATTTCTGCTACACACATTTCCAGTCTCATGACCTTCTTCAGGCAAATAAAAGGAATAAATTTTCCTTATGGTCTTTTATTGTTTCATTGTTTGTTTATAACCAAAAATGTTTGTGGTTTCTCTCTTTTTTTTTTTTTAAAATATACCTCTTTTCTCTCGGAACAACTATAACCTTTTCCCTATATATGAGTTAAGCAGGTTTCACATGTATTCAACTTTTTAAACCAACTTTAGTATAACTTGTAGCATTCCAAAATTTTATATATATAATTAATACAAATATAAAGTTTGTCACTTAGCTGATGGGTGTTACCTTCAGCATCCTGACTCCAGAGTTTCATAAACAGACCCTCCAGCAATCATACCATTCACTCTTTAAAGGAGTATCAGCAATGATGGCTGTCATACAACCATCACAAGATATCATTGTAAGAGCTAGCCATGCTTTGAATAAATGTAGTTCTTTCAATCAGGAAAATTCTTTTTAAACCAATGGCACAAACTTGGCATAAAACATACATTTTGTTGTCATTGGGTCTATTTTTTAACTGGTTGCATAACTTTTCAGCTTACCAGCTGACTTGCAAACTTTTTCACAAATGTGACATGAATTCTCAGTACTTAATGCCATTTTGTAGTTCGTCGGTGCTCTTGTACAATGACTTTGCACACAATTTTCCCTGCCTACCACAAATATCAAAAGCAAGGTCTTGTCTGTAATTCCTGTATGGTCTGGAAGTTTCACATCAAGTCTTTTTCAGACAATTCTTTTCAGCTTTATTTATACAATCTGAGAACTCTTGAAAGCATTTCAATCATTTACATGGAATTTCCAGTCATATGTACTGATGCTTGCAAGGCTTAGTTTTAGCAAGCTCTACATGCAAAAGCTGCTTTAGAATAATATTGTCACTCATGCAATCAACATGACCACTACAGTACTAAATAATTTAGCTATAGCAGAGTCTTTCTGGCATGGGGATTTTTTGTTTTATAGAATTTGGAGCCCATCATGAGCCTAAAAAAAAAAAAAACAAAAAACAAAAAATAAAAAACTCTTCAATAAAAATAATCCATGTAAATGTATATGTACTAATATGGAAAAGAGGGTTTTCAATAATATATGCATATTATTTGGAATGCATCTTTTGATTTGGACAATCTTGGAAAGTGTGGGGAGTGACATTCTGGCATATGGTGGGTGAAATAAGTGCATTGGGCAAAAAAGGTTGAAAACCATTTTTCTAGTGATTACATAGTTACAAAGTTGCTTTATTTGATAGAGGTAATACTTACTAAGCCACTCTGGTATGAAATGAGGATAAAACAATATACTAACAGATGATCTAAGTCAGGGGTTTTCAAACTTTTTGACTTGCAGACCCCTTTATATTTCAGGCTTTACCTTAGGGATCCCCTTATAAACGCTTATGAAATTTATACATAAATATTTGCTGAATATAACATATAATTTTGCATTAATGCAATAAAAGCTGGTTTAAAGCTTACTTTAGACATAAGTGTTCAAATAAATTAATGCTGCATGTTGCTGCAAAATGTAACAAAATTAAATTTTGTTATATTAAAATATTAATTTTACATGTAAATGAAAACAGTAATAGTATTTAACAAATAGTTTTATTGTCAATTACACACAGGATTTTTTAATACATACTTAGTGAGAAGGATGTGCTTGCTTCGCTTTGCACAAACCGTCAATTCTTGGCGATATTACAGATAAACATACACGTAAGTCACTTTCTGGAGCAAGTCTGGATCTGTATTTGTTTTTTAGATTATCTTGTCCTTGTGGACCCCCTGTGGTCCGCGGACCACAGTTTGAAAACCCCTGATCTAAGTAGATATATTCTAAGCTTAATTTATACTGGCATTAGGCTACAATAATGTGACAATTAGTGAGAATCAAACTTAATATGCTAGCAATAGTCAGCAAAACAACAGTTATCATTCAGAGAACACATGAAACTCAGAAAGAACTTGTGAAAGGGAGCTTTCGAGATGAGGAATCAGTTTTAAGACCAATGCTGTGGTTGCAGTACTAGTTTGAGTAATAATAATAGTAACAGCAGCCTGTATCAAAAGAGAATTATTCATGCAAAGCCGGCAGCACTAGAGTTTTAAGAGGATGAGGCCTGAAATAGTTACTAATCTTTGGAATTCCTGCAGTCAAGAGCCAAAGTAGCAGCCATCATTGAAATCTTTGCAAAGACAGTAGAATGAATAATTCTGGAAAAAAAAAAAAAAAAAATGGACAGACATGCCCAGATAGAAGTTTGGAAGACTGTCCATGGGTGCAGAAGTATAAAAACTGAAGCTATGAATTTGACTAAAGCAAGAACTTTTTTAGAAAAGTTAGAAATAATCAAACAATGATTTAACAAGATTGATTGATTTTTTTTTTAATGGCTTACCAACATTTTGCAGGTTATTTAAAGCCACAAAATATTTTAAGATTTTAATAATTTTGGGGCGATAATAATGATTTGACACAAGGCCTACTATTTAACCCATAGTTGGGAGGAGAAGAGGTGGACTCATACATTTCTTAAGTGTATTTACTCATAAGTGAATTTAACAAGGGTCAGCTGAAAAGTTCATTGGCTGGTCAAGATACTCTCATGGAATATGACCCAATGAGGTTTATTTTTCAATATAACCCCTCCTTGTGGTCCACACACTTCTTCCATTGGTGTTGCTTGAATCCCATTTGTGAAGAAGCTTTCATCCTGTTGGTCAAAAAAGTCATCAACAGCAGATATGTCATTATCACTGCGATATTGGTTTCTAGCAAAGCTTTTTTTCATGTTGAGCCTTCTTTGGATCAGGTGAGGAGGGATGCATGAATTGTTTGTTTCTGGCTCAAAGTGGTGAACCCAAAACTCAACCTGGGTTAGGAAACTTTCAAGGAAATCAGCTGGATCCACCTTAAACAATGTCAGATTTTCCCATGATGTGATCAGCCTGGTATGCTTTTGATCAGGTGTCAGAAGACATGGCACCCACATAGCAGAAACTTTCATCATGCTAAGTTCATTGAGCAGAATATTCTCGACACTCTCATGAGATATGCTAATAGCATTGGCCATTTGGTTTATAGTCAGTCACTTGTCATCTATCACCTTATGGTGAACACGATCAATGTTTCCCTTGATGGTAGCAGTTGCAGGACATTCAGATCTTGGGTCATATTCAAGATTATCCCTACTCTCCTAAATTCAGCTGCCCACTTTTGTACTGTTGATAGAGCTGGAGCACCACTTCCTAATGTAGCAAACTCCATGTCAGCATGTATGTTGTTGGGGGCTCAACCCTTTTTCTGTAGGTACTTGATAACACCATGATACCAAATTTTGTCCATTTTCAAGAGAAGTCACTACTAGTTACATTTGAAGTCTTCTTTGAACAGTCAGATGTCAGTATACCCGGAAAAAAACAATGCAGTTAATAAAAAGAATTAAAATTAATGCATACAAGATTTCAACACACTAGCATCACTCATCCTTAGTCGACCTGTGAAATTTTCAGCCCATCCTTGTAATGAACCTGACTGGAATTCAAAATCGGTCCTCAAATTTCCAATTCTGAGCTGTTATCTATTACACCAACTACACATCCAAGCTGGTATTCAACAAGAAAACATTCTAGATAATTACCAGTTTTAAAAAAATGTAATAACTGGTCTCTTTTCTTTCCTGGAACTCTGCATGTATTGAAAATTAGGTAAAATTGGTTCATACACAAGAAGTTGCCATGACGATCTTTCTCTGGACGCATCTCTTCTCTAGAAAAAAGAAAAAAAAAACATTATAGAAATAATTATAAAAACATTATAGAAATAATTAAAAGTTGAATTCTATTGATTATAAAAAAATCTGAATCTACCAGTAAAAGTGATTTTTAGAACTTAGATAAAAGATTGATACTTTCTATCAAAAGTAAAAGAAACCTTTTCTTGTATGTGTACATTTTTAGTAACTAAAAAAAAAAAATAACCTTACGGAAATAATGAATAGAAGAGATAAAATACTTGGACATTGCAAATCAACAAATTAAGTATTTAAGATTCTACACTTTAGAAGAGATAATAGAAGGTAATGAAGGGTAGCAATAAAAATCCCTAAATTTTTGGACAGTATCTTGAATCCTTGATAAAAATGATTAGCTGAATCAATTCTTTTATCTTCATGCAAAATAGGAGTTTCAAAAACTCAAAAAGCAATTGCATTTTTGGTGTGTGAAAAATCACAGTTAATCTTCAGAGATTAACACCTTCACTGCTGCATTGTTATTGTTGCCTGGCTGTGCTGGCCTATTTCGGGAAAAATAGAAAATTACTATTTACTGGAAATAAATGGCTATAAAGACATCGATGGCAATTTCCCCATTTTGGTTTTGATACAAATATTCTGTAGTACAGACCTGGTTAAATGACACACTTAAGATAATATATCACAAAACATCAATAATAATCTATATGGCTTGAACCTGTTAAAATGAATTAAGCAAAGCCTTGGACTTACTTGTAGATCATCTTCCAGCATTGAAGTGTATAGTAAAGGCACAGGGCACATCGTTCAATCTGTGTACCATCTTTAGCTGGCCAGTAGTGCTTGTAGTAAGGACCTGTACCTCCTGTGCTAATGAAAGGTGCAATAGGAGTTCGAATGTCCAGGTAGGCCACGTTTTGCCACCACGACTCCAACTAGAAACAAACCCAAAAGAAAAGATAAAAACATGAATTATAATTAGTTTTATGTAGGAAAGAAACAAATATCCCAGCAAAAAGAAAAAGGATAAAACATCAAATTAATAATATCAACTATGAACATGGACACAATATCTTGACCATGCTTTGAAAATGAAAACATTATATATATACATACAACAATCTTTCTTGTTAATATATTTCAACCTTGAAAATGCTAAACATATAGCTGAAAGCACTCAGATAAAAAGAACGATTAGACAGTTTTTATATAATTTATAATCTGAAAAGAAAAAATTATTAGATTACATGAGAAATTGTATAAAAAACTAAATAAAAGCACTTTGTCATATTCAATGAAATGTGCATGAAAGGAGGATTGCTTTGCTGATTCATACACATTAATTTCTCTTCTTTCTAACAATATCAAGATCATTACATAATCTATCCATTTAAATGCTAAAACTTCTAATAATTTGGTTCAGAGAAGACATGGAACATTTTTCAATCAGTTTCCAATCAATGACTTTTGAGAGGAATTGGCCTAACTTTAATCATGAAGCAAAAACTAATAATCCATCTTTTTCCTTAAATTTTAATGTGTTCATCTTTAAGGCTTATGGCCACATCATGTTGAAACACTGGTTCTCATATGCTCACCAAAGAAATGTCAAGTCTTGTCAGTACCTAGCTAGGTTACCACTTGGGAATACCAGGTGCTGTAAGCTTGGATGTGCAGGTGCTGTAATGGATAATGGCATGGAATTGTTAATCATAGAGCTGAGTTCCAATTCCTGTTGGGTTCGTTATATTCACTTACACACAAATACACTTGGGAAAGGTATGAATCCACCTCTTCTCCTCCCAGATTTAAGACTAAACCATTATCTCAAAAAAAAAAAAAAAAAAAAAAAACATTGTTACAATCTAAAAATATTTTCTAGCTTTGATTAAATGGCAAAGGGTTGATAAACTGTAGAAAACAAATCAATCAATCAATTTATTTGGCTTGCATTCAGCTTGAATTTATATTTTATTCAATTCTCTATGATGTGAAAAATCATCAAAAAAGTTGTTTCATCTATTTATGACAAAATTATCAAATTTCTGATAATTTTTAAAATTATAAAAAGAACAGAGATTCAAAGAAAATATGAAGTCACAAATGATGCAGTGCAAGACATCATCAGACAAGAAACAGGCTCACTGAAGGCTCCATATCCACCATCAAATTGAAATAGTATAGACACATCAAAAGAGCCAATAATTTTTCCCCTACCATCCTACAAGGTACCACCTTGGGCAAAATAAGAAGCAAACAGAGGTAAAAATGGTCATTGAGTGGTGTGGATCATTCACAGAGATTCAGCCATTGGCACACAGACAAATCATATGGAGGGAGCTGGTCAGGTGCTCAGCTGCATCGTGACCGTATAACCACAACCAGTCAAGGTATTGATGAAGATCATGAATATTTTATTTGATAATGCAAATTGTAAGTCGTTGAGTTTGAGATATCTTTTCTATAGTAGCAGTATTTGTTGATTCAAACTGACCCTGTTTAGTAAATTTGGCTCCAACAAACTATCATATATAGGTCAGTGTCTATTGCTATGTAACTCACAAAACATAGATTAAGCTTAATAGAAAAAAATGTAGGTAGACAGGAATGCTGCTTGAATTAGAAATTAGAAAGCAAGAACATTATGTATTGTGATGTAGTTGTAGAGAAATATGTGATACAACAGGTCCTGCCACATAACCAGCTAAACACACACGCACACACATGTGCGCACATTCGAGTGAGCCCGAAATGTTGATATCAGAATAAGAAATGTTAAGAGTTTTTTTATGGCTGAAAGATAAAGTCTTTGAAGTCTGGTATTCAAAGTGGCATTCATCTTGACTGAAGGAGAGAAAATAATAAATAAATGAAAACTTGTGAGGTCAAGTGAAAAATAGTTAAAAATCAGAAGTTTCCATCTGCAACCTTATATAAATAGGGTTCTAGTTAGGACAAGAGGAGCTGTCTATCAAACCAGTTATAGAGGCATCAGTTACTCAGCAAAAGTAAGAAGTGGTAATGAAGTAACCTCTATGCCACCTACCTACTCCTAAAGAGAATACTAGATCAGACTTTGAAATCTAGTGAATAAAATACCAAATTACTGAAAACCAGATGTGTGTTAATTTCTTGCTATGACATTGATTTCATCTTCCATCACTTGTGAACATACAGTGGGTCTTTCCCAGTATTTGTGCACATCTACACTAATAACAAGCAAAACACAATATGGGGAGTGATTTGTTTGGTAGGTGAAAGACAGTGGGGCTTCGTGGTTTGTTTAAAAATAGACATTGCCTGTTTTGTGGGTTATTCAATTTTTTGCCACAGTGTCCCACTGACAGAAAATTTAACTCTTGTCACAAGGTAATGTTTTTTTAAAGAATCAGCTGAATTTCCCCTCAGTATTTGTCAGAATAAATAAGCATATACATCACAGAAATCTTAGTTATTATAAAACGCAGATTGTGTGTGCGTGTCTGTACGTTTATATACTGGATCGGATTTCCTACATTTTTCAACCGATTTCAACAAAACTTCACAGGACTACGTAAAATTACCTTGCGGTGGTTCTGACAGCGCCAAAAATAGGAAAAACACAATTGTTTTTGCTTGAAATCAATTTGAAAACATGATAAAACATGATTCTGTCACCAGAATGAAAGGGGGACAACTCATATCGAGTTATACTTATTATAAAACCCAGGTTGTGTGTTCGTTTATATATGGGATCGGATTTCCTACATTTTTCAACCGATTTCAACAAAACTTCACTTTTTTTTGGCAGGTAGTGTTTCTTATTGTCTTGCACACTTTTTTCTTTATTTTTACTTTCAGAATGCTTTAAAAATTCCATTTACAAGACAAAATTCTATTCAATCGATAGACTCATAACAATTGAAAACAATATTTTTGTTTGAGTTTGGGTTTGACCAATTCGTAAAAAAAAAACAAACAAAAAAAAAAAAACTAATTAAGACATGCATGTCCGTCAACCTTAAACAATAATCTTTGTCAATTTTATTTTTCAGTCTTTATGATGGTTGATACTTGATCTATCTCTTACTGTTACATCCCCTGGCAACGCCGGGCTCTACTGCTAGTACAATATTAAATCTGAGATTGCTGACCCAATTGGACATACTTCTTATTTCTTCACTGTGCTTAGTCAAATCTATCATACTAAACACCATTCTATAACAAACAACAGTCTATTAACGAGCGGGCCCTGAATTTTTGTCTATTGCAATCAACTCAGAAACGTCCCGTGCTTATTGGGACTTAAGCTCAACCCAAACTCCAAGTGAAACTCATACATACATTGCTAAAGATGTTGGAAAAAGGTTTAGGTCTCTGTGCTGCTCCAGTAAGTACCTGACTCCTCCTGCTATCCTTTACCTTTACAAGAGCCAGACGAGACCAAAAATAGAGTACTGCTGCCCAGTTTTTACTTTCCAGTCTTGATAGTGCCCAAAAGCGTCTCCATGGCCTTGTGGGTGATGAATTATTTACCACCCTACAACCCCTACTGTAAAAACAGACATGTAGTTCCTGTGAAAATTTCATGGTTTTCCTATTTGAATTTTCTGATGAATCATAATTCTTAATTTAATGAGGAAATAAGCCCCTTGTGACTTTCACAACTTTATAATTACCCATGAAAATTCCTTTATTGCATCATTAAAAATTTGGGCTTAACAATGTTAACAAAATACTCCAATAAAAATCATGAGTATAAATACATAAGTAGTAAGAGGGTACAAATAAAAAGACTCAAAATTGACAAGGTTTTCTATTTCGCTGAAGCAAACATTAAACACATGAACATTTTCACCTCCTCTATCTTCTTTTTATGCTTAGAATATTGCTGCCATATATGATCCAGTGACCCTGTTATATACCTAGAGCTCCTTGATAAGATTCAAAGAAGAATCAGCAGTATTATTGGTCCTGATCTAGTTACTCGGCATTAGTCACTTGTCCACTGCTGTAAGGTTACCCCTGTGTCTTTTCTATAAATACTTTCATGGTAATTGTTCAGATGAGCTCTTTGCTATGGTACCTAGACTTTATAAGTGCAGTACTAGACTGGTGTCAAGATCTCATCAATTTACAGTTGAGCTGACTAGACATAGCCTTCTTTCTGGCCAGCTACCCACTCATTTTCCATGTTCAAAAGGTGAACAATTGAAATTAAGCTTTTTCTTGGTGTGTTGTGGAATGTCTGTGATTGGTAGAGTTACATCATTCCAGATTCCATTTGCTGTGAATTACTTGTTACGAAACTTGGCTACTGATGTTCTTTTTCCAAACACAGAGAAGTAACGTACTGAATCAAGATTAACAGTTTCTTTTCTCACACTTCTCACTTGTGGAACTCCGTTCTGGTGCCATGCTTTGTAGCCAACTTTAATCTGCCAAAATTTAAATGAAATATCAATCACTATTTACTGTCTTCCTGTTTACTCTTTTCTCTTTCTGCTCATTACTAATGTTTCTGTTCCTAATTCTTCCACACCCTATAACCACTTGCATTTTAGTGGCTGTACTGTCTTGCTTGTGGTGATACCGATAAAAAAAAAAAAGAAAAAAAAAAGTATGCTTTCTTTTTCTTACTAAAACCAAATAGTATCTCTGATATATCTTTATCTTTGTTTTTTCCATGCCATCAAAACAGAAAAGTCCATTATTTATCTGAAGTAATAGCAGAGAAAAATACTCGTGCTAACTTAATAACTAACAGAGGAAGAAGAAGAATTATATATGCCAATACCTCATTCTATCTATAAAATTGCTTCCCCTCTCTCCTGCCCTACTTATTAACTTCCTTTTATTGAATCTTAATGGTAACATCTGCCTGATACACATCTGATTGCTTGATCAGCTAATACATTAATTAAGCACAGAGATCACTCTAAGTACATTTGTTTCTACAATGACAATGCAAAGGAACTGCTTACTGCAATATGTTGGTACATCAATAATTCCATAGCCTAATGATGAAAGGAGCATTTATTTTTTAACACTCCCTTTCCTTGTCAATGCACTTAATTTGTGGTGATTAAACACATATATACATACAGATTTATTTGTCTACTTTCAGAATTTTAAATTTTAAATAAAAAAATCTAATTTATATAACACAAAAATAGATAAAAAAAATTATATCTAACATTTGTCCACATCAAACTTACATGCAAATACTCTTGAGAAAGGTCTGACTTTATGTTCCCCATCTATAGGTTAAATAGGACTTTATCTGAAAAAAAAACCCTTATTCTGAAACAAAAAATGTTAATGCAATATTCATGCACAAAAAACACAAAGGGTGATAAGCCATAAAAACCAAATCAATCAACTTTACGGTATTTTGTAATTTCTTTGGGCATTGCTCTTTTGTTCTACCTTAATAAACATTAAAAATTGATTGCTCTAAAGGAGTATGGAATGCTAAAATACTCTAAATACTACTATTTTAAGCTAAATCAGTGGTTTTAGTATTAAAATCTTTATTGTGACAAATATTTTTTTAAACTAAATCCAGAATTAAGGGTAGTGGGTATGATATCAATTTCAACCTCTATCTTCAAATTTGGTGTGTACCCATTTCTTTTTGAAAATTTCTATAATACTAAGCAGAATCCCAAGAAAAAAATGATTTGGGGCATTTTTTTATGAATTGCTGCCCCTTAAAATGACCAAGCTTATTTCAGACCATTAATTCTGTTGAAAATCTCAATATTTGATAGTCTGAGAACTCTTATGTCAGTCAACAAGAATCATGTTTTTCTGTTGTGCAATATAATTATGATGAATTGCAGCCAAAAAAAGGGTTCAAATGAGCATTTTAGGGGTGAAAATACCAAAGATTATAGTAAATTGAAAACCATTTGGGAAAAGGCTAACCTAAAATCCTCAAAGATCCCCAGAAATTTGTTAACTTCATCCAACTGCTGAACCATAATATTCATTATGCTCAAGAATTTGGGGTAAGATCTCATTTCACCCCAATACACAATCTAAAATAAAATAGAATGAGTATTGAAAACTCACAGATAATGGAAATCCCTGACCAATTTCATTTGTGCATGGCGTATTAGCCAGAATGCACCAAAACACCAAAAGATTCAATTGCTACTTGAATGATCCTTATGAACTTACAAATAATAAGAATATGACTAAAGGCTGTTAGGGCTAAATTCAAAATAGGAATAGAAAAACAAATTATGAATATAATAAAATTGAAAATTCAACTTTAAGCAAACTTGGTCACAACATCACAAAGCTGAATTTCACTCTCTTTAGTTTGTGTTGTGTCTGTGGGAACTTAATTTTGCTCCCAAGTATAGTGTAAACTTTTCTGAATGTGATGCTTTGAAGAAAAGAAAATCCATCATTATGGAAGTGAAATTAGACATTGTTAAACTGTAAAGGGAGAAACAGCGACAAACATTGGCTGCTTGTTTGACTGTTGCTTAAAATATTTACGTAGATGTATACATATTGAGTTTCCCTGAAAGAGATAAGGGCATTTAAACTATAAATTGGTGAATTCCCAATAAAAAAGAAAAACAAACTCATATTTGTTTTTCTTTCTTTCCCAGATTTGCTGATGCTTCTGAGTATTGCAAAAGAGAGATCTTATGCTTTGTCATCTACCAAGAGCCAATGACATAAATATGCAAGCAGCTTAAAACAATTTCATCATGTGTATTCTTTTCATGTCCTCCATGTGTTTTTAGTTCTGATCATGTTAACATGTCATAGAAATGTGTTGTTATGTCCTAGATTATTATTTTACTATTGAATTAACATAGGTGAGAGATGTAAGCACTTATTCACAGATAATCATGAGTATATTCTGACTTACATGGAAAATTAAATTAGGATGCAGAAATTTGTAATAAGTCGAGGATCCCTTGTATTTTAACTTGCAAAATTAATTTCATATCAATCAATTTTTAATATTTTATTGACGTGGTACAAAAGAGTAAAGCCAGATTATTATTCATTACTTACCCAATTACGTTCTTTCTTTGCTTTTTCTTCCAATTTTTCATGTAGTTCTTTTCCGACTCCAACTTTAAATTGCCGTATCACAAATGATGTCTGCATATATTCTTCATCAGATACATGTGGCCGAACTGTGTACATGAGAAAAATGTCATTTAATATATTAAAATTTTGAATCTTGAAATTAAAAAACTAGTAAGGGTACCCATGTTTACCTGGCTTTAAAAGAATTTATTTAGTAATTCTTGACTAATCTCTCATCATTTTTTTTTAATACGCAGAGTAGTAAAAGATATAATAGTCTTGTGACACTGGGACCTTAGGGAGTTAATCAAACAAGAAAGAAAAAAGAAGAGAAAAGAGACAACTGAATTAATGATAATTGTTGAAATTCACAGGAAAGTGGATTGAAAAGTTGTCAAGAAAATTAAAAACAAAATGCACTGAAAAATTATGTTTCAAAATAATAAAATGAAATATGAGCAGTCCCAAGTAGAATCTAACCCAAATTGAACTAGTCAGAATTCAGAAAGATTGAGCAAAACCAAGACTACCCATTCTTCCCCACTTTCTGCTGATAAGAAAGAGACAATGTATTATTGAAGGTGTTAGAAAAATATAAAAAAAAAACACACACACGTGCCAGACACAGGACTCTATATAAGCTGGAGGTTTTGGACAACTTGAACCTCCTGACCAAGACCTTGTGCCAACTCTGAAGACCAGAACTTAGAAATTTAAATTACTACTAACACAGGCTGTAAACTCCAAAAGGGGATCCCAGTGTAATTTCATTATAACAATAAGTGAAAAGGATTAAAACTGTTGTATACAACAAATTGTGTATAAACCAAATTGTTGTTACATTTTTAACCCAAGTTGATTTTTTTATTCCAAAGAATTCTTTTTTGGTGTAGCTTGGAGCCATCGACCTGTTCTTCACTTCAGTTTACTTCATCAGCGATCTCCTCACTCTCTGAGATCAAAAACACAAAGTGGCTGAGATATGAAAGAACATGAAGGAGACAAATGCCAGCTAGATCAAGTGGAACCATGCTCATCAGCACAATACCAGAGACAAATCAGCAACACATTAATGAGTGAAGAGTCAGCTGGATGGTAACCATATTGGTAGTCTGAAGGAATCTGAAGACCAATGTGAGGTTACAATCTAAAATTGTTCAATTTTCTTTAGATGAAAACATTTTTTATTTTTAATGTCTTTCTTCCATCTTATTTTTTTTTATTGCAATGCTCATATGATGTTTTTAATTTATTCTACAACCAATAAGTAAACAACTCCAATCTATGATACTTTTCTGAAAATCATTTGATACTCATTATCAAATACAGCTAACTTTGTTTTAGAGCTCTGGAATTAATTTTAAATCCTAGCACACTACTCTTTGCAGAAGTAAAAAGTAGAGATTCAATGAAAAAAAAAAAGTTTTTGTAGTAGTTTGAACCTGCATATAAAGAAGATTTTGGCTTTTCTTTTTGATGCTCTGTGTATTTACAGCTACTCCAACATCCTCAACAATTTTTTGTCTTTTCATTTTTTAATCAAGGTAATAAAGCCACTAAGACAAATGCCAGAGTGAAAGAATATGAAAGAGATGACAATAAAAGAACAGGATTCAAGGAGATAAAAGATGACAATTGTCATGGTATTTAAATTTTTGAAGATGAAAGTTGACTGGATAGTAAGAAGATGGAAGTTCCACAACTGAGAAGCACAAAAGAAGAAACTCAACATAGAATTTATGATTACATTTAGCAATTTCAACTGTAAAATAGTGAGATCTAGCTGTCAATCTAGTACTGCATTTAAATTCATGAAGTCAAGATAACAAAAAGCTAAGATCATCAGAACAGTTACCATGAAAGTATTTATAAAAAAAGGCACAGGGAAGCTATGTTACAGAAAGTGACTGTAACTGAGATGCCAGGTCAGGACCAATATCACTGCAGATTCTTCTTTAGATTTTGTCAAGAATCTCTAACATATCCCTAGTGTTGCTGACACTCTGGGAAAGCTGAACATTGGTACCCTTACAAGTATAATTTTTTACAATTTCCACAAGGAGAAAAACTAAAAATGTAGAATAACTCTAGCTCGTTCATTTTTCTATGATGGTGCTTGATCACAACACCAACAGAAAGAATTAATAAACAAATTCTTAAAATTTTTTACTCTACTCAAGAAATTTAATATTTTTTTTTTTTATTTCATTTATTAATTTCACAGTTTTTCCTTTTTGTTTGGAAAATCCCAAACACATTACATGGCAGCATGATGGCGCCTTTGGCCTTGATGGTGTCTCAGACGACTGCCCGAGTCTCCAGTACCTTGAGTCGGCTTTGGCTAAGCACATAGATGTTTTTTGTTCCTTCTTTTTTAGCTATCTTTACACACATTTTCTCTTGTGAGTTATATTGTTCTTTATAATTAAAAATGAATTCAATGCATACATTTTCAAGGTCATGGTTGAACTAGTGACTTCTGACGACGATGTGTTATCTGTGACCAAGAGAAATAAACATTTTCATCAGTTAGACGTCATTTACACACTACAGCTAATCACAGGATTAGTCCTATGGTTGCTGGCACCTCGGGCAAGCTTAATTTCGGTGCCCTTACAAGTATAATTTTTAAAAATTTCCACAAGGAGAAAAACTGAAAATGTAGAATAACGAGTTTATGACAATATACAACTTAATAAAGTTTGAAAGATGAAAACAGTTTTTATGTCCACTTCGCCCGCGCATTCATTTTTCAGTTATGGTGTTTGATCACGACACTATAACAGAAAGAATTAATAAACAAATTCTTAAAAATTTTACTCCACTCAAGAAATTTATTATTTTGTTTTTTTATTTCACTTAAAGTAGACAATTTTATTCAAATTTTAGTCCAAGAGAACAAATATATATCAACTAAATAGCATTTAACACATTTATTTTCAAACAATTTTTGCCAATATTAGACCTTCTTGCTATGGAAATAACAGAGTGTCAAAAGGACAGTTTTTCCCTTGATACCACTATTATTTTAACTACCATTACTCCTCAACAATATTGTTTAAAAAAGCAATGATCAGAATTTTAATCAAACTGAAACATATGAAAGCAAATTTAAATTGGTAAATAATAAATATTGCATTACATTAGTTTTTAGAATGTTGGAAATATAAAATTGGTAAATAAACAATATAATAGTGTTAAATATTTTTGTTCTAAATTCTCATGAATAAAAACAAATGTATAAATTTATTTTCATCACATTAAGGTTTTATTAAAATGCTAATCACTTTTTAAAACAATAAACATTGCCAAGGAGTAAAGGTAGTTAAAATAATAGTGGTATCAAGGGAAAAACCATTCTTTTGACACTTGGTTTTATGGTGAGCATGATGTTCCAAGATTGCCCAATTTTCAATTGAAAAAAGCATATAATGAACATGCCAATCAATGCATAGTTGCACTAGAAAAACAAAATTCCCCGATAATTTTTGTTTTCCTTAAAAAATTCCCAAATTTCCCTATGTTCTAGGTTTGTTGTGAACATCACATTAAGAGACATGACTAAATGAATTGTCCCTTTTTGGATATTTAATTTAAAGCTTCATCAAGGCAAATTTTGAGACAACCAATTTCAAAAGTTCATGAAAATAAGGTAACCATCAGTAAGCCACCTTTGTAGCTAATTTGGTATCTTTTAACCTTTAGACCTGAAAAAAAAAAAAAATAATGGTGTAGCAAAAGGATGGTTTTTCTCTTGACACTGCTAGTATAATATGCACACCTTGGCCGATCTTGGGTCAAACCTGATCAGCAGTGAACAGAAACGACCCTTGCTACATGCCATCTATACCAGAAAATGATTTGGTCAATCCCATGCTGATTGATACTGTGACTTGTTAATAGACTGTTGAATGCTATGTATTACTTCACTGGCCACTCCAGTCTATACTTTGGTCTACACACATTGTGTTTCTTGATCACAGAGCAGTGGAGATCAAGTATCATCAGTAATTGTAGCGCTGGTTTGAACCACAGCAAAGCTGTGTTATGAAGCAAAAAAATGTTCTTACAGACAAAATAAAAACAAAAGATTCTTAAGGTCAAATTTTGATTTGATTTATGTAGTTCTTTGTATAACAACATTAACTTCTCCCACTAAAATCTCTATAGTGACACTTTACCCATTGATGCTAATTCTTAGAGCAGGGCTCAAAATTAGGGGTTCTCTTGGCAACAAGTCATGTAGATTTCAGGAGCACCCTCATCTGCTCTTCACCACTTGTCTCTTGTTCCTCCCTGGGTCACCTGCTTATACTGACTTAACCCCAATATTAGAGTGGGGCTTGAGAGTGTTTGGGGATCTGGTGATTCCCCAGGTTTCTGTATTTATTTGAACAGAGTTCTTTGTTGTCTGGTTCACAATATTAATTATCTTTCCAAATTTGGGAGAACCATTCATCCTACTGGTGGTGGTTGCAAGTATCAGCCTGCCCTTATAATTCATTACTTCTCTTATTTATGCCTCACACTATTACTTCCAAATGGGCAGAGGTAATTTCTGCTCCTTCCTCCTCTCTTAGAATTTCATCTAACCCCACCACTTTGGCTGTCTCTTTGGCAAATCTGATTTTTAAACTGAGTGGGCAAACAGGACGTTCTTACTTTAAATCATTAATTGCAATTATCCTTATTTTCAACAATGAATTTTCTCAGTCTCCGGTACAGTTTATTTAAGTATACATTTAGCAGCTGTTCCACTGACTCACCATTAGCAAAACTTGTCTTCATATCTTTTCACTTAATTGTACTCATGAACCTTACAGGTTCATTTCGTATTTCAATTTCTTGAAGAGAAAGATAAAATCCTATTTCTTGATCTGTTTACATTTCCAAAATCGGCAAAGCTACTTCTGCTCTTTGACAGGCAGGCATTCATCTTCAAAATTACAAAATATTATAACTCAATTGACCCCTTCTTCCATCTGGTAATCATGAGACATGTTTTCATAACTTTCACTTTAATAAAGCAGACATAAATCAATTTCTCAATTTCTGCTTCCATTTCCAAAATTCTCAACTAACCCTGAATGTACTTTCACTATTCCTTCTCAGACCTCATGTGTTGAAGCCTTCTACATGGCCTCTGATAATATCTTTCCCAAAACCAATAAAGTCATTCTTTTCTGGTCTATCTTTTCTTCAAGCTAGATTTTTGATAGGAAACGATTTCATTCCATCTTTTGGTTTATGTGTTATTCCATACTTTTAATTCTCTTTCCGTCTGTTCCATTCATATTTTAAATTAACCTTTTTCATTTACCAGTGTCACATTAGTACTGCATACTCCCTGAACAATGTTTAGAATTTTAAAAACAAATACCCAAACCAAACTTTTAGATCGCACCTTGTGCATATACAAGATATATACAAATATAAACACTTCTTCAGTAATCCATGTAAAAGTGGGTACTAAAGAATTCTTGGTTTGACCAGAAAGCCCTGACAAAAATTCTTGTAGATATTTAGATGAATTTTAAAGAGGTAGGAACCAAGAACTTTACATAACTCACTCATCAACACATAGTAAAAAAAACACACAAAAACAGCAAGATACACAAGCAAATAAACAAACTTATACACAACTGCATACAAAGTAACTGTTGAAAGTATGAATATCTTATTTTACATATCATCAAAGAATTAGTCAGGCTCACGAGTCCAGTAACCCACTAGGGTCATAGGAGTACCACATGTACTGCAGCTATAGCAGCAGTGGTGTGTCTTGAGCAAAATAGCCCGACGGAGACCAACCATCTCAAGGCAGTTTTTCATTCTGGAAAAGTTGCCAACCAAGGCTATAGGACCTAGTCTGTTCTGCTATTTAACCATAGCTGGGGAAGAAGAGATAGATTCATACCTTTTCCAAGGATATTAGTGAATGTAATGAACTTGGCTCTCTGATTTCTCAGTCTGAGCTGCCATGTATTACTTCACTGTGCCTCCACAAAGAATTAGCACCAATGGTTAAATACCTGACATTTAAATTATTTCCTGGAGAAAAAAAAAAATACTTATATTTTCCCCACAATTTGTCCAACTTACCTGACTGAAGATACTTTTCTAAAGTGTGAGACAAAGATGGTAATGGCAAGGATGGCAGTCTGTCTTGGTAAACAAAGGTCTTCTCCCCAGGAGAACACTGGTACATGGTGGTAGCAGACATGGCTATAAAAACAACAGATTAATTATTTAATTAGATACCATAGTAGAAAATAATTGATTGTTTCTATAGCTTATCAACACTTTAAAGGTTATTTAAAGCCAGATTGTAAGATTTTTTTTTTTGAGTTAATAATGATTTAATGATACAAGTCTTACTAATTAAGCCATTCCCAAAAGTATTTGTACATAAGTGAATATAATGAACCCAACTGGAATTGGAACTTGGCTCCCCGATTAACAATTCCAAACCATTATTCATTACACCACATAGACATTCAATTTACAGCACCTGGTATTCCCAAGCAGTCACTCATCTAGATACTGATCAAACTCAATGTTGCTTAACTGTAGTGATCATACAGAAACCAGTGTTTCAATGTGATATGGTCATATATTAAGAAACAAAAATAATTATATTTAAAAGTACTATTTAGAAAAGATAATATTCTACAGAAGTCTTAGAGGAGATTGATATAGGTCCCCTCCAGCCTAAAACCATTGCTTTGTGGATACTTCTCAGAATGCTACAATCTTGAGCACTTCATGTCAAGATTTAAGTTGTTACCTATATTTTAAATCTACCTTAAGTGGCTCTTGAGTTGTGTATTGATGAATATTAATAATTTTTTAAAAATTACCAGTATGTGAAAGATAATTAGTGGCCTGAGATCAAACTTTGGTTGAAAGGCATAAATCTACTTCTCCCTTTGTCATCACTGGCATGCCACAATCTCAAAAAAGAGTGGATCAGTGAGCACTTGACAAGTTCTACTATACCTGACTAAACAGTAGCAGCAAGAAGCCAAACTTGAGAGACCCAATCATGTCTATGTCTCATTTGTGGGAAAGGGGTTGTAGGGTGGAAAATAATTCATCACCCACAAGGCCGTGTAAATGTATTATATTGCTGATGGTGATATCACAGTATTTTGATGCATATAGACTTCTTTAGGTCAAAATGATTAAGGAAAGAGAGAGGAGTAATTCTCCTTTTTATAAACCTGAATTGTCAGAGAATGGATCATCTGAAATATTGTGGTGACCTCATCAATTAAAAAAGAAAAATAAAGAAAAAAGAAAGAGTTCAACTGTACAAATAGATCTCCGCAATGTTGTAGACAATTATGACCTCATACCACTTCAGACCTTCCACTGGCTGGTCAGATTTCAAAGAGTGACTCGAAAGATCACAGCCCTAGGTACATTGTACCCACTTCAGGAACTTTTACTGCATGGTTCGATCTCAAGGATCGACTTTAATGATCACAACCCTTGACACAAGTCACTCCAGGAAACATTATTCTTGGTTGAAAATCCTCTTCATCTTACATTGTATTATCTTTATCCTAAAGTGATCTTCCACCATATGATATAAAATTTGGTGGTCCCAAACTGGGGTGGTATCATACATTTAGAATCAAATCTCTGGGCTGGGTTTGTTTTGGTTTATTATGTTTTACGACATATCAATCTCAATGGGTTATTTTAGTGCTGACAAGATTTTTAAGATCTGTTCATATGAATAGAATGTTTATTTTTGGCAAGAAATCAGTTTGTAGATCAGGTTTCATTGACATATTTTTGTGAAATGTATTGCTAGTATTTTTACAATAAAAATCTATTTTCATACTTTCATAGTTTTTTGACTCCAGTTTAGGGGTTAACTCTTTGCCAGTAGCCTGGACCCTAAGTCAGGGTGGACCTGGAAACAATAGCGATTAAGAGGTGGTCCCATGATCCTCAAAACATCCCAATCAGAGGCCTGATGTATCCCTGGGTTGGAGTAAAACATAAAATGACTGAAGTATATTTTTATGAAAGACAGAAATACCATCTTTAATTGTCTTTTCTCCAATATACAAATTTAAATATATTTTTCCTTCCCACTATTTGTTTGGATCGGTCAAAGTGGTCAGATATATATCTGTTATATTTCCATTACCATAGAGAGAAGGGGGAGAATTGGTTTGTGTGGGAGGGTACTCTAAGAATCTATGGTTACATCTTTCCTTTCAGCTCAAAACACTAATGGCAACCTTTCTCTAAGTTAAATCAATAACTCATAATGGTGGCATTTGCGCCTCCACTTACGTAGATGATGGCTCAGCAAAATGAAATCATTACTCCGCTTTCTTTGTTCAAAAGTGTCTCTTAAAAACCCATAGGCCCTGGTTGGTTTCTGGGTTATTTATCATGATTTCAAATGTTTCTGTTTGTACAGACAAGCTGATGGTTCCTTTTGAAGTTTGGTCCTCAAAGCAGCATCCACTTTAACTGGAGGGGAATGGGAATAAAGGGATTTTCAGAGGTCAAGTGGCAACATAGCTGGAAATAGGGTATATCTGAATGCTGGTCTATATTAATAGATTGGAGAGAGAAGTCCACCCTTAGTAGAAAACAGATATGTCATGCAGTTCTGAAGCCTCCATTTCAAATTACCAGTCACCATGTTGAGATGATTGGTTTGATTTATTTTGTTTTATGGTATATGAACCTCAATGGGTTATTTAATGCTGATAAAATTTTTTATTGCTGGTAATATTTTGTTTTGTCAAAAATCTGTTTCTGGTAATATTTTTCCTTCAAAATTGTATTGCTGGTAATAGTTAACTATTTGCCAATAGCTGGGACCCTAACAGGTGCTACTACCCGAGTCATAGTGGACCTGGGAACACCAGCAATTAAGAGGTGGTTCCACGCTCCTCAAAACCTCCTGATCAGAGGCCTTGGATGTAGTTTATCATCTTACCCAGGACAGATGTCGAGATGAGTAAATTGGCGAGGAGTTGGTAAGGGTAATAGCTGACATAGCAGTTGTTGTTCCAAGTAACACCTACCTACCCACCCACCCAGATGAGAAGGTAAAACCCTCAAATAAAATGCTTACATATAATATGAAAAACAGGATTTGTGTTCTTATTTCTTGACATGGCATGTCTTTCATCGTGTTACCTTGTGAGCATGTAGTATGCTATTCCCTGGCTTTCAATGCCCAACAACAAAATCAAGGATCGAAATGCAACATGTGGTAGTCATTAGCTGGTCAGTGGAAAGCTTTGTCAAGGATCACAAAGTAGGTTTACACCTGTCCCAAGATGTTCCTTAAGAAAAATATTTTCCTTAAAATCTGTCTAATTTTGGGTGATGGGTAGTTTAAGAAAACAACTTTCAAATAAGGAACACTTTTGTCTGGAATCAACAGACATTTACCAGTTATACTCCATCTTACGAGATTTTCTCAAATCCAACTTCACTTATCAAACCTAATTAACATATTTAATTCTTTTCTCTGTTGCACTTTGATAAGAGTAGCAAAATTATTTTTTACTCTTCTTAGCTCCATAGCACCAAACCAGGACAAATACTATTTAACTCCCAACAACCAATCACTGCCAAGCCTCTGCAAGGAACAAGTGACATTTTTGATTCAACATTCAGGTAATATTCAAAGAATGTCAAAAGTGATCACCCATGAAATGTGTAACCTGTGCATGCATTCTTCTCATGTTGTTAAGACAATCTCTTTTATGGATTAAACATCTCAGAGTTCTAGGCTATTTAGATTAAAGACATCTTTGATGCGGTTGGATGGCCTGAACAAATAGGGGTCTTCATCCAGGCTTGTGATGGTTGGTGGCAAAAGAATGAAACAAGGGATCTGGCTGAATCAGTTGTCATAGGAATCTGGTTCAGAGCTATTTGCTGACTGTTCATGGGACATAAAACACAAAAACTACCAACCAAAGTTACTTTGAATCAATTTTAACTTCTAGCTGGTAAGGGTTTTTTTTTTTTTTTTTTTAACTTTTAGCCCACTGACCAAAACATTCAAATTAAAGATTTCTCTTGCTTATATAAGTAAGTATTTTGGCCATTTTATCAGTTCTTAAATTTTTTCTCCCTTCATTACTTTTGTCACACATGTGACAAATGTTCATCACTGGAATTTCAAACCACCTTGTAAAAAAAAAAAAAAAAAAAAATTCATTATATTCACTTACATGCAAATGCTCTTACGAAAGGTATGAATCCACCTCTTTTCCTCCCAGCTATGGGTTAATTAGTAGGAATTGTATCTGCAAAGCCTTATTTTCTCAAAAAAATACTCACAGTCTAAAAAATATCAAAATACCCGCAAAAGGTTGATAAGCCATAAAAAAGAAATCAATCCTTCATGTTAATAACTTTGGGAAAGACGAACATGAATTATAGAAAAATACAACAATCAAAATCCTTGGATATTTTTTTTCAGTTTCAAAACACATTTTGTTTTTTACAATGAGTGGTTAGATGAATGAATTCAGCGGCAAATTAAAGATATAATTTTTTTCCGCTTTCTAAAGTGGATGGAATACTTATAAGCTCAAACTTTTTGTGTGACTGCTTAAAACCTTGAAAATTATATAATGACTCTGGGTGCAATTACACAAAACTGTGACCTCAAATGCATGTATTTTTATTATTTACATCTACCAACATGTGTCTCATATCTTGTCCAGCTGAGCAGTATTTTTTTTTCATGGAGATAACTAATTTGGCTTAAACATCAAATTTTAAAAAATGTGTTTTGTTATTTTCAATCTGGTCTTTTTAAAATTTTTTAAATGAGTGATTATTTTGTTGATGGTGGATTTTTTAAATTAAATTACTTAGTTATTCAAATAAAGTAAATTTCTGCCCAGAAATAGGTAACTACATTTAGATCACAGCTTGAGTGTAGATGAAGCAAACAATGTATAAATAAGTAATTCAGACATTTTTAATAGTATGTTTTGAAAATCTAACAAATATTGGCAATCTTCATGCCCACAAAAAAACAGTGTATCAAAAGGACAGTTTTCCCCTTGACACTGATATTACTTTATACTATTTTCACTCCTCAGCAATGTTTATTGTTTTAAAAAGTGATGAATAGAATTGTAATAAAACCTAAACATATGATGAAAGTGAATCTATACATTTTTTGTTTGTTCTTGAGAATTTAGAAAAACAATATTAAACCCTATTTATTTATTAAATTCTTTATAAGAATAATTGAATATCTAAAATAATCTAAAAATTAATACTAGTGAGGCACGGTGGGGTAATGGATAGTGGCTTGGATTGAGGAATCAGAGAGCCAAATGAATTCCAGTCAAATCCATTACATTCACTTACGTGCTAATACCCTTGGAAAAGGTATAAATCTTCTTCTTCTCCCCCCCCAGCTATAGGTATATAGCAGGACAGACCAGGTTATATAGCCTTGGATGGCAACTGGTCTACCACAGAAAGAAATAGCAACCTACTGCAGGAAAAAATCTGCCTCATCAGTCATGTATCGAAAACATGTATCATGCATGTCACATAACTGATTGAGTGTATTAAAACTAATACAATGCAATATTTAT